GTTATATACCATTTCGTAGAGAATTGAAAGGCGAATCTTTTGATATAAGAATGATCTCGATCGACTTTGAGGAAGAGAAGGAATTTCAAAAACACTGACAGTCTAATTTATTCTGCGCCACCCGTTAGATTATCGACTATACTGATTCCGAATATGACCATGACAGCCGCTCATGAATCTCCGGAGATCCGGGTTTCGGAAAAACAGTTTTTCAGAAACTAAAAATAACTAAAACCTTTCTTAATGAGGCATGATTGTAGCCTGCACAATTCTGATTAAAATGAGACATGAGAGTTTCTGAAAAACCGGTTTTCCGAAACCAGGACCTTCGGAGACCTATGAGCCGCTGTCATAGTCATATTTGGAATCAGCATAGTCGATAACCTATAGTCCACTAGGTTTCGTCTCAAAAGCGATTGAACAGTTGGTGGCCTCCCCTTCTTAGCTGAAAGGCATGTATTAAGTTAAAGCATGTCTTTCCACTAAGAGGGTTGCAAAGCTAAAACTTTTAATTCTCCAAAACTCGAATACTTAGAATTCATTTCACAATATTGATTTTCGATATGTCAACAGACTTGTACTGATTTTGTCTACGTTGGTCGAGATAATTTAACGAGAATTTTTCAGCGTTGTTGTTTATTTATTTTTTTCTAGCTTTTGGACACTTTTCTTGTCACAAAGCGTTAGATCAGATAGATATCGTTATATTTTCAATAAAAAACGAAGATCATGATCATTTTCTGGTTCATGCAAATTTTAACATTTATTTAATTTTAAACCCTTGGTCGTTACGGCGTCTAATTAAATGTGTGCGTGATCCGAAAGTCTGAAGAAATTCGGAGATTTCTGATGCTGGATTATTTGAAATCTTTGCAAAAAATGTATCAAAATACATAAACTTTCTCGCCACATTTTGGAACTAATATCAGTTAATTCCAGAATGCATCTTTATCTTGAGAAACCCGCCGCGTCTTCAATACAGTATTTCTTTCATTGTCATAAAAGTACCTTTACAGACTTTAGCACACTCGGTATTCTCTGACATCTATCGATTCAAGGAATATTCTACCGAAAAATCCACCGAAGAAACATCTAAGACTTAGCAAGGGCATCCATTGACCATAAGACTGACTTAAACCATTCCTAAAGAATACCAATGCCGAGTACTGGTACTTCAATCACAGTAATAATCGAACAAATGAAATTAAAGTTTATCAGTATATGTTTTTGAAAAGCATCAAAGAGGCCACTAGTCTCTGGATGTTAGAATACTCTTGTGATAAAAGCGTTTACGACAAGACAGAAAATGAACCAATAAATGTGTAGTATCAGATCGTCAAAATAAAAGAAAGAAAGCGATAGAATTGGAAAAAATGCTCATTGCAAAAATGCCTGACCCGATCTGGAAGAAAAAATGCGGTTAGATTGTCTTTCAATTCAATTTCTCTTGATAAAAAAAGACATAGTAATTAAAATATCAAAACTTGTGGTTTATTTTAGATAATATGTGAAGTTCGAATATCGTTCATTTTTCTGTGATGATTTCCACAGGTCTTAATTTTCTCATAGCTAAATATTTACGTTCGTTAAAAAACCAAACTTTGGTTGATGTAAGTGAAGAAAAGAATAAAATTACTAGCATGAAATAGCTCTCCTATTTTTTTCAGAAATTTGTTGATACTCTCCAACAAGATAATGTAAGTGAAATGTCATTATCTCATTTTTGAAAGAAGAGTATGTTTTATTATATATTTTCTTTAGTTACTACCATGCACAACAAATTGGAACGGAACGGAACAACAAACTTCGTTTGAACAATTAGTAGGTTTTTAACGATAACTGACTAAGATCATTTCGATTTATTTTAATAATTTTAGGATCAACAATATTCGCATCTCAAAGATGATCACCTTGCAGCGTTATTATCAAATTTAATGTGTCATGTTGAACAAGGAATTGATAAACGTTTCGGTTCACTGACAACATTTTTATTGCAAAATGATCCAACGTGTTTTCTTCGAAATGCGAAAGGTATTCAAAAAAAGATGTTCTCCGATAATATGAAGATGTTATTTATTTTTTTTCATAGATGAGAAACAATCGTCGAAATATAACATATTTGCTATGGCATACAATCCATGTCAGACTGTTTTACAACCCAAAACAAGAAATATAAGTAGGGTAAAAGTCTATTATTTTATGCTAAATGTTCTATAGACATATACTTTTTATTTTGTAGAAACATTAACGAAAGAACGTGAATATTTCGGACGTACATTATCAGCAAAATTACCTTCAACAGATATGTATAAACGGATGAATATGCGTTTAAAAGTGATTGCACATAAGGCGTCTGTTTACTGTGTTGTGTTCGATCGCACAGGAAATTATGCATTGTCGGTAAGTTTTAAGCGATAATTATAGTCATAGTAAACTCTAATAATTTACTTTTGATTTCAGGGTGCAGACGATCTTTTGATCAAAATGTGGTGTGTTAAAACTGGAAGATTATTAGCATCATATCGTGGTCATAGCAAAGAAATATGCGGTAAGCTAAACGCGAGTAGAAAAAACAAAAAAATAAAATTTATTGTATTTACGATCATTTTAGATATTGACATTAGTTTTGAAAATACGCTTTTGGCGAGTGCAAGTCTTGATAAAAAAGTGCGTATTTGGAGTCTGAAAACGACAGAAACAATTACGGTATTACATGGACATTCTCAAACAGTCAATATGACAAGGGTAAGTTAGTTTTCATCTCATATATTATTATATGATTACTATGTTTGATAACACTGTTTACTTTGTTTTAGTTTTCACCGTTTTGCAAAACCGATGATCGTTGGTTAGCCAGTGTGGGAAATGATGGAAATATCTGTTTTTGGCGTTATCTAGTGATAACAAATGATTTTGAGTAAGTGAAATGTGTTATTTAGTATAACGTACATTAAATAAACGTTAACAATTAAAACTGTTTTCATAGCTTATAATTGTGTACTTTAAAATCTGAGGCTTGTGTACACATTGTATCAATCGTTTATTGAGTATTTCATATTTTAGACCTAGACCAATTAAATTTGTAGAAAAATCTCGTGCTGGAGCTCAGATGTTGTGTTTGGCATTCAGTTCAGGTAGAATAGATACAATTATCTTGTCTATGTGTATAAAAGTGACTTTTATTTCATTTTCTGTTCAAAGGTGGTTATTTTCTTGCTGCTGGTAGCAGTGATTTTGTTATACGTGTTTATAGCTTTCATACTTATATACCAATGAAAATATGTGAATTAGACTCTCATAACGTACGTGATAGTGACCGTATAATTGATGAACAAATATTTGTTATTATGATTATTTTTTCCTGTGTAGAATATAGTTGAAACGATTTGTTATTCACATATGAATAATTCATTTATCAGTGGTTCAAAAGATGGTACAGCTCGAATATGGCGATATGAAGAACAATCGTGGCGTGCTATTATTTTGAATTTTAATAAAGAATTACTAAAAAGGTAGCTGAAAAAGTAGTTAACAAATAATGTTACTCATTATCATTTGATTATATAGAGAATCAGGTGAATATAATTGTAATAATACACAAAAGATAATACCTGTTACAATTGTTGCATGGAGTTGCAATGATAAAAAGGTGTCAACAGGTAAATAGTCTCATTTGAAAACCATCTTAAAATTATTACTAAATAAATTTTTTTTAGCATATGAAAATGGTTTAATCAAAGTATGGGATTCTCTTAATGGAATGTTGTTAAATGAATTAAAAGTATTTATCTCGAATTCTAAAATATTGTTCTTTTACATATTATTACTTTTTTTTATCAGAAACATGATAAAATTATATTTGTACTCGAATGTCATCCAACAAATGAACGTTTGATGTGTAGTGCTGGACATGATGGTTTATTAATTATATGGGATATTTGTGATGGTCGATTAATTAAACAATTTCTCAATGATGTATGTACTTTGCAAGGATTGTATCTATCTTATATATATCTATATATTCGATTATGTTTTAGCAATACGTTGATATTCCATGTTCCATTCCATATTCGGATGCAAAATGGTCTCCACACTGCGATATGATCATAACAACAGATTTATGTGGTCAAGTGTGTTTTTTTGGTTTAGGCAATGATACATCTTATAATCAAGTAGGATTCTATTTTTATTTAATAATTTTTCAAAAATTTTTTATTTTCTACTTTTCATTTTCAGACACAAATTGAACAATTTTTTCATAATGATTTACGTCCATTACTTCGTGATCCGAATGAAAAAGTACTTGATCAACATTTTCAATTACCACCACATTTATTACCACCACCATTTTTAACGGACGATCATGGTCATCCTTATTCAAATGAGATACAAAGATGTGTACCCGGAAGAGAAAACAATTCATCAGCAGAAAATACAGCAAATATTGTGAATAATGAATATCTGGAAGGTGAGCTGGAGTTATCTGTCTTATATTTATCTAAGCTATTTTTCTTGATGTGTTGACGTAAATGAAATTTCATTTTCTTTATTCTACTTCACTCCATGTTTACTATTGATAAGCCTTTTTAAAATTTTTTTCGATTTTTAGATATTTTGATTGTTGAACCAAGTACATTTCCAGAAACAAAATCAACATTTGCCAGGCGTGCGTTAGGTAAGCATATATCTTTTAATCATTACAAATCACCGAAATTTCGGTTTTTCTTCAGAAACCACGGATGTTTCCTCATTTGGATTAACAAAACGTCAAACATATGTTTATCATCGTCGATTAATTCCAAAATTAAGCGAAGCAGAACGAGAGTAAGTATGAGAAAAATTTCATTATTCAATTAAAAGATAATAAATCTATAATATTTTAGATTTAACGAGAATATTAGACAAGTTCGTTTTGATAATGAAAGATCTAATTATGAACTAGAATTCAATAAAAAATCACAAAATAGTGAATATGTACGTTCAATTTGTCTTTGTTTTACATTTTATTGTCTTATTGCTCACATTATAGTCTCAAGTACCTTACGTAAAAAAACGTACAACGCGAAATTTTGTACGGTTAAGGCAAGAAGAATTAATGAAAAAAGTTCCACATAATGAAATTGTTGCAATTAATCGTTTAACAACACGTGCATTATACGATTCAGATAAAGATGACAAAACAGATGTATCAGATGAACAATATATACCAAATTCGACAACAAATATTGGAGAAATTAGTGATGACGACTCCGTATCGACTGTATCTACAGATGATGATTTAGCATCTGTTCCAAATCGTATTTCAACACGTGGGAGTCAAAAACGACTACAAAGACATCGAACATTGGCCGTCGAGGATGATGAGGAAGAGGATAATGAAGAAGAACGACAACATGAACATCATAATCATAGTGCTGATGAAAAAGCCGAACACATAAAACAAACTCATAGACGACGACATAAATTAAAACGGAAAAAGAAACGTCGTGAACAAGTATAATCTTTTGATTTGAATGTAAATGAATTCTGCACATGAATAGTTTTTCTCCATTTTAGTGTAAACAGCGAAAAGAAGAATTAGAAAAAAGTTCAGTAGATTTGAATAATACGGACACATCTCGATTTATACCACCTGAATGGCTGTCAAATACACGACCTAAACGGTAAAGAAAGAAACAATATCATATTGATTATATTTAACTTAACACATTATTTAGAGCTCCGTATGTACCGCAAGTCGGCGATATTGTTATGTACTTTTTACAAGGTCATGAACTATATGTAAATGACGTTAAAGATAAAAATATATACGAAATAGATGATCAGACACTTCCATGGAATAAATGTTCATTATTGAAAGTAAGTTGAATATTATCGGTTTCACAAGGAAACTAACACACGTCAAATAGTTAACAATAAATAGTTTATTGATTTTTTTCTTTTAGTCGGTTGAATGCGGTCAGATAGTTGGTTATGCTGTTGAAGTTTTGCCTCCACGTCTGATCAGTGTTCGAATACAGTTATTAGATTCAGATACACTAGAAGAAACAGCGCGTCGTATCAATGTCAAGTAAGACGACTAAACGTACAAATGTCTCACGGATTACCTGTATTTGTTTTCTGCTCTTCCTACAGATTTCATGATATTGATGGTATCGCTGATTTTCTTGTCCTAAAACAGTATTATGATCAAGCTATGAAACAAAAATGGAAGATTGGTATGCTGCTCATAGAAAAATTTTATTAAAAACTAACGCTTACATTGTTTCAAGACGATCGTTGCCGTTGTTATATCGACGATATTTGGTGGTATGGAACAATTTTGAAAGAAGAACCATTTGATTCTCGCCATGAAAACAGTCCATTTCAATGTTATGTTATAAAGTATGTATCGTCCCAATAGCTTATAAAATTATAGTATACGTAGTTATTTGCTATCTCTATCAATTTTTTCTCTTCTAGATGGGATAGTGGTGAAGAAGAACGATTAAGTTCGTGGGATTTAGAACCGATAACTGATCTACGTATGTAATCATTACTAATCGTAAATGTTAGAGATTATATTTATAAACTGGGTGATCGAGGCGTCTTGAGAAATAAGAATATGTTGAAAGATTGTTATGGATTGTAAAGTTAGATGTATTTTTATTCTTTTTGGCTTATATATCTTTCCAATTTTTGACATCGATGCCTATAGTATATTACTGCTTTTTAGGACCAACAACATCATCGTCTCAGACGGCATTACCTATTCTTTATACACCAATCTCAAACGAATGGCCAGATGATGGTCAAGAAATTGAATGCAAACGATTATCATTTGGTATTGAAACAATCATGCAAGTCGATGAAGCTAAAGATTTTATATCACCAGGTTAGTTTTAGATATTTAAATATTTTTTCTTATTTCCAATGATTTTTTTTTTGTTTGTCTAGTGGATTTTAATGTATATAAATTCTATCATATCGTCATACCATATCCAATTGATTTAAAAACAATTAAAGATCGTATCGATAATGGTTATTATAGGTAAAAAGATCTCTTGTTTTCATGTGTCTCACTCATGATTTTTACATCTTTTAGACGAGAAAATGCCGTTAAATGGGATGTGAAAAAAATTGAAGAAAATGCGAAAGCATTTAATGAGAAAGGCAGTCTCATTATTGATCAAGCAACAATTGTTACCAAAGTGATATTAAAATATATCGAGTAGATACTACGTCTTTATTAAAAAGATTAAAACTAACGATAAACTATTTCGTCATTTTCAGTAATAATCAGTGTAATGATATAATGGAAATATATCGACATGTTGTAAATAATGAGAAAATATCACAACGAACATTAACACCAAGCGAAAGTCAACAATTGGTAAGTTACATTAAAGGATTAAACAATTTCTTCGCTAAAATTGTTATAACATTTCTTTCTACAGTTTACACACGATAATGAAGGTTGGTTCGATGATTGTCAAACAGTTCTTGATGATGTTTATGCGCAGACAGACTCCGATCTATTTCGTCATCCGATTAATTCCGACGAATATCCTGTATGTACAAGATTTTATATTGTTTTTTGTTTTAGAAAATAAATATACTTTATATTTGTAGGACTATAATGAAACTATTCACAAGCCAATTTGTTTTGATGAAATACAAGAAAAATTAAATCAACATTCGTATCGTCATACAAGAGAATTTATCGCCGATTGTCGACTAATATTTCAAAATGCAATAACATATTCTGATCCTGATGTAAATCACTGATTCTTACTTTTTGACTTCTTCATCCTTAAGAATGTACTGTAAAATATTTTTTTATTCCATTGTTTAGATGATCAATTTAGCACGACGATTAGAGCCGTGGTTTGAAACGCGAGTGGACGTACTCCAGCGACAACGACGTACTGTATCTCAGTTAGCATCAAATTCAGGATCACAAGATCATACGAGTCGAAGACGGTAAGTTATAAAATATATTTTCTTTCTCAATCTCTGTGTACTAAAATGTACTTTATATTTATAGTCAACAACGTTTTTCTCATAGTGAGAACAATATCTACACCACTGGAGATGGCGGTAGTCGATTTAATCGACGAGCTCAATGTAAACAATCTATAATACTAGGTTATTCAGTAACAATAACTTATATCAATTTTCTTTTAGTTTCATCGCACTCAAATGGAACAGCGGGTATAACACAATCAAATTCAACGTCTACTGCTCCAGAAACAACAACATTTATTACCACAGATCGGCGGCATTCTCATTATCATCGTGTTATTGAATCTCGTCCGAAAACAAATTCAACATCCATTTTGACAACATCAGCTAATTTTTCTTTTATACCGCCAATGGCAACGACGATAAATGGTAATAGAAGACAGTATAACGATAGTAGTAGTAATAGTGATACCGATGAGTATGAAGTTAAAAAAAAACAAGATATTTCATTAACAACATTTCTTGAACACAACGACGACGGTTCATCTCGACAAAGACTGCGGAAACGAAACGATAATACTTGGCAATCTCGAACACGTTACGGTGGAAGACCTGTTATTTCTTATGCTCAAAATCGTGATGAGGAAGATGGCGATAATGAAGATGAAAAACAAAGTTTTACAAAGAAAGAAGCAAGTTTATCACGTTCTGTCTCACCACTATCAACAAGTGGAGATGAAGCATCAAATAATAAACGAAAACGAATGGAACGATATAATGGCAATCATTCAAGAACTCAAGATAATGAATTGTCTGATAACGAACAGAATGAGAATGTTAAAATCGAACCATTGACAACAATCAAAGATGAGGAAACAACAAATGTGATAGAAAATCATCAAGTTTCTAATAATCGTCAAGAAAGTGATGGTGGTAAGAAAATGAAATATTTTGTAAAAGAACTCTCTAAAATGATAAGTTTTACAGTTGTGAGTTTTTAGTAACAATTTTCATGTGAACGTTGGGTTTTGAGCGATGTTTAATTCTATGTTCCTTGAATATCCTTTTCTACTACATAATAATAATTTTTATTCATTTAGATGAAAACGGTATTCGTGAAGAAGAAATTGATCAGAATGATGACGACGATCGGGAGTATGTACCTGAAAATCAAAAATCAACGGATGAAGACGATCAACGATCGATATCGAAAGATGAAGATGATAATGATTCAGATTGGGAAGAATCGGCAACAGTGACTAAAAAACGTTCTAGAAAAATAACAAAGTCATCGACAAAACGTCCGACTACTTCGAGCGGAAAACGTAAACGTCCATTATATCGTACACGAACACATTCATCATCGAGTGAAGAGTCTGATTCTAAAAATCGTATACTTGTTAAAAATAACGGTCAACATCGTAGCACATCAAAACGTATTAAAACCAGACAAATTTTGTATGATGATGATGAAATGACAGATGAAGAAAATGATAGTCAGGAACCTATCAAAAGTTCACGTGGTCGAACAATTAAAAAACGTTTTGGTTGAGAATAAATCTCAGATGATATGTATTCATTTTCTTGAATCTAGGGATGTTAACCGATAACGCTAACGTTCTTTGTTCCTCTAAACAACGCCAACGATTAGCGATAGCGATAGCGGCGGCGTGTAAATACCGACGATACTCTGCTAACATCTCTACTCGTATATAGCCATGAACAGTGATTTTTCTCTAACCCTAACTAATTCTTCGATCTCTGCATGTACAATTTTTGTTGTTTTGTGTCTCACTTTTATTTTTTCTTGTTCTTATTTGTATGCTATTAAGGTGTGTCCTCTCTGTCTTTTTCTCTCTTAATAATCTAGAGAAAAATGAATACACATACATTCATATATTGTACTATCATTTTGATAGAAATTTTGTATTGTTTATTTTGTATAGTTATATATATGTGTGGCTTTTCTCGATGTAAACGATTAAGACATTCATTAGTTTAATATTTGTATTTTTTATTGTATGAGTTCTCTTGTCTCTCTCTGTAGCAGTCATTTTGTTAACCTTTTTTTTCTAAAACAAAGTGTGCAAATGTAAAACGTAATAAATCAAATGAGCCAATATAATCTGAATATGATCTAAAAATTCAAAGTCTTATGAAACAAGAAAAGTGAAATTAATTTAGAGATTTGTTTATGAGTTATATTATACTCTATACCACTCTGTATACTATTCTGTTTGAAATTTAGTCATTATTCATAATCTCTTTATTTTTATATCATGGATGCGATAGAAATCGCATATCATGTGTCAAATTTTTCAGCAACAAAATTATCGATGATTAATTCGGTTTTCTTCACTAGTTTTGTTCAATATACATATATAAATAGATATATCAGTGAAAGAAAACAAATAGGAAACAATAAAGGAAGCATTAGACATGCACTGATATTAACGGTTGCAGCAATTTCTCCACAAAATGATATTCGAAACGTTTTTGATGACTTTGTTTTGTAGAGAAAACATTTCTCTATCAAATGAGGTATACCAGCACTTTTCATCTTGAATTAGTACTTAGTTAAAAATGTTTGCCAAACGTTCCACGATCGCTACTGGTACCAGTATCGATTAATACCGGTTTAGGACTTTTCGTCGAGAATCGATTGTGGAAGAAAGAAAAAAGATGAAGAGTTGCGACATACATCATTTTTTAGAAAAATATTTCCTCTACAAACCTCAGCCGTCAAAAATCTTTGGTAGTTTACATTTTTCAAGCAACCTGATTTAGAAAAAGAGGAAAGTATACCGTTAAGTACCGGTGCATGCCTAGGGAACATTGAGGAAATCGTCAGTCGAGAGACTTAGAAGCAAACGTAGACAAGAGCAAATCTCTTGAAACAACGTCATTTGTCGTTTCTTTCATGATGATTGTAGTGATTTCCTCTCCGAGTTTACTTCTGTCGAAGCCTTGTCTTGTCTAAACCTGTGTGCGTTTTTAATTAATCCTGCTGTTAACAGCTTAATTTGTAGATGAAGCGATGACTGGCTCCTCCTTTTCTTAAAAATTGTAACTGTAAAGCATATTCTAAGCTGTAGGATAGGATAAGGTTCTACACATTTCTACTCTATGAGTAGAATCATCAATTCTGCGTAGTGTATTAAATACAATCTGCGAGATGCATTTGACCTTTAAATAATATAATTTCTCCATATATTTAAGATCACTTTTAAACGAAGTCTTAATGATTAAACTTCAAGAAAGATAGCAGTCATAACAACAATATATAACTGAGAGAATAAATAAATTTATTTACGATGTTCAAATACTGAAAGATTTTTCTTATTAAAAAAAAACCAAACAATCTGACAATTGCTAAATTTGATATGACTAAAAGAAAATTATTTTTAAACATATTTTTGGATAGCTAGAATAATAATATTATAATTAAAGATCATTCTTCCCTGTGTAGGTAAAAAAAAGGTCATAAATACAGAAAACATGATACATAATATTGACAACAGAAGACAAAGTAAGATAATATAAATATTTGTCATAATAAATGATGATTTATGTTTTTGATCGTTATGTTTTAATATCAGTTGCTCATAAATAGATGGACAAAATGATTGGGCGATTTGAGCAAAAGGTGAATTTAATTCAATATCAAGATTCATGGTCATATGATGAAAATAATGAATGGAATAAATCGACTGATTTTTAATCAAATATTCGATGGATAATGAAGATGTAGATGAATGAAAAAATATGGGAATATTTTGATAAGCAATAGGATAAAATGCGTACGTATAATGAATATCAATATCGTGACATTTCTCTTTCTGATGAATATGTAATTCACTACCATCACATAAATGTCTTAGTGCATCAGATAATGCTGTTGGACCCACACATGACCAACATAACGATTGAAAATTATCAGAAAATGATGCCAATTGTTTATCCATTTGAATATCCAATGCTAAATGTCCACTTTCAAATGCTAATACTGCTACATTAACACCAGCCTGTGATTCTAATCCAACAGAATTTTTAAATTTATCGAATTTTCTTAACGGAATAACATCCAAATCAAAATAGATACCACCATATTTATATAACAGAGCTGTCCTAATAAAGTCTGACATATGACTAATGACAAAATATCTTATAAAATGTATACGAGATGTTTGATTTAGTTTCGCTAATGGTGTATTGGCATATATTTGAGATTCATTAAAATGAACAAAATGAACATTTTTATATTGTAAATTTAATTTTGAATATGCTCCTTTTATTCGACTAACATATTGAGCTTTCATCAAAACAAGAATAAGACCATTTGGATGCAGAAGAGCGGCTGCCTCTATAGAACAACCATGACGAACAATCAGATCTTCGTTCTCAGATGTTTGAACAAAAAATATTTTTGTGCGATTTGAAACAGATAACTCATGTTCCATTGTGGACAAATCCGGTAAACGTATATGGAATATCGTGGATGAATTGGATGACATTTGATTTTCTGATGACGGTTGTAAATTTTCGTGGACAAAATCGACCGTAAAAATGTTAAGTACACCGTATAAACTTGCTTTAGATAATTGAGTAATTAAAATGTACAGTGTTGTGAATGATGCTAAAACAAAGAGAAAATAGGAACATAATCATTTGATCTAGACTAATAATCAATGGCAAAGTTGGCACCGATTGAAGAAAATCCAATCCAATCCACCGCTTAGAAAATTTTGTAGATCGGTAAAAACCCAGCGAGTGAAAATTGAAAATTTTTGTAGGACTGTTAGCCGCGCTTTGAGACAGACAGCATTGATCCTTTTCGCAGAGCGTAGAGTCCGACCTATACTTAATAGGTTTTTGATATTTTTAAAATATTTTTTTTTAGTTTTTTAACAAAATGATTTCCGTTAAAATCGATTCTACTCCTTTTTTTCAACTCTATTTACGGACAAAAAACGATTTTTTTAAGCTGAATTAGTAAACAGTCGTCGCCAATCAACCAGTTAGAAAGCTCAACCCGATCGAACTGGGCGGTTGGATTTGGTTTTACCGGTTTGGATCCAACTTTGATCAATGACCTTCGAATAAATAATCATCATCTTGACCAAAAATAACATTAAAATCGTACATACCGATAAAGAGTATGAACCACTTTATCCAATTTATAGTCCTAAAACAAGGCAACAAGTCAATTATAATTGCAGCTTCTAAGAAATCAAATAATCTCTTTGATATCACACTTCAAGAAACGAACCATGTTCAGTCACGTTTAGTTCACAAATGGTTAAGATCTTGCCAAAGCCTGCATTTTCAAATAGCATCCCCAACTAAGCTTTCAAGAGCAAATGTTCATATGCGTCCGTATAATGCTTACAAAAAATTGAGTTCAATTATCTTGAAGAAAACTCTGTTCCATGGAGATGTTGGGATAGAAACGAAACAGTTCACTGAGGATCTGAATGAGTGAAGTAGAACCCAATCACTTGTTCGAGGGATGTATTGAGTACTCGAAAATACGCTTTCTATGGACCCTCGCCGAGGGTTCGATCCCTCGAGAAATGAGAAGCAGGATCCTCGATATAAGCGTTCGAGGGGTTATCGGTTTCGAGCCTTCGAGAAAAATTCCGAGCCGTCGAACAGAGTTGTTCGAGACCCAAGCAGACAAAATGACTTCCGAGTCCTCGTCAGCCCCGGATGTGATGAGAACTCGGAAGTCCCGAGCATCTCTATTCGATGGCTCGAAATTTTTCTCGAGAGCTCAAAATCAATAACCCCTCAAACGCTTATATCGAGGATCCTACTTCTCATTTCTCGAGGGATCGAGCCGTCGGCGTGGGTCCATTTTTGAGTACTCGTTGTACCCTTCGAACGACTTTTCTCATCTGCATGGATGCCACTGAAGAGTCCAAAATACAGTAGTTTATAAATATTTATAACTCTCAATTTTTTTTCGTCAATTTTCAAGCGGAAAACCGTTTATAAACCGATTTATAAACCCATTTATAAATCAAACATTTATAAATAAACGTTTATAAATCGATTTATAACTATTTTGGACTCGTCAGTGATGGAGATGCTGACTATTTTTAAATTTTATGTGCTCTGCTAATAATTAGCTAACAGAAAATTGCTAAACTCACCTTATCTTAAAAAAGCTCATGTTCATATAGTGACTTGTCGACAAACAGCATTCGTTTTTTTTTATGTAGTAACTTTCTTCTTTTATACTGATATAAACTTTATTTGTTATTGGTAAATCTAAAGTATAAAGATAGAAAATCTTTCTCTGTTTTGTTTACTAGATACGAGAAAAACAAAACACCCATTTAGAAAAATTAATGATTCATTTGAACAAATACAGCGTTGTCATTAGGTTCATCGAACCTTATAACAAAACATAATTATTAGATTTTTTTAAAAAGAAAAAAAAACAGATACATTAGCATAAAAAAAACTTTTTTTTTTCCAGAATATTTGTCTCTCTGGATACAGTTTAACAAATTATTTTGTACTCCATAGAGTTTATATTATAAGAAAAGCAAAAAAAAATGACTTTCTTAGGAATAAAAAAATATCCAGAGACATTCTACGATGTGGTCATGGATTTTTATTGAATGAATTTCTTCTTTTCTTTTTCTTTTTCACGTCATTACACATATACTTAACTGTCTACATCTCTAATGATTTTTTACTGTTGTTTTGGGTGACGAGTAAAACGTTTGCATGAAAAATGGTGAATAATATGTAAAGAAGAGTTTTGACAATTAAAATAAATATTAATTCATTCTAGAAAAAAAAAATCTTTTTTCCGTATTACATCGAGTGATAAATAAAAAAAGAATGTGAACTAATGGTATTTCCACTTTGAATTTTAACTGGTTAAAAACTTTTTAAAGTAACTATGCAAGGCGGAAATAAATAAATCGGGAATCAACTAACAATTTCAAATAATAGTCAACAACAGAACGGATGCTTTTCTTAAGTACATGTTTTCATTATGGTAAAACAATCGAAAAACGTGCAAAAACCTGATAATTTTCACTAAAGAAGATCAATAAAAGAGTATCTAAAATCTATGTAGACAATGCAAGTTTCTTTTGAAAGAAAGCTATATCAATAGCTAATACTATGTTAAGTAAAACATTTAAAATCTTTGAAGATGAAGGAAAAATGTCGAAAGTTATTATAACAATTAATTTTTCGGAAGATTAATAGTTTCCATTCTGCGTTGTCTCATTTGATTAGTTTCAAATTTCATTTCATTTAACGCTTGCTGTCATCTTCCGTTTTATTCAGTTATCCGTTGGATCAAGATTTTTCCTATCAATGAACCACGATGAACTCAGATTCATTGAAAATTCTAATTGTTACTATTCACAAAAAACTCACAATATTTATGTCTTGCTGGTATTCGTTATACACGTATATTATCTACCGATATTAGATTACGCATTATCAGAATGGGAAGTCGAAGTGTGATGATATAATAGGAATCTATATTTTAGTATACGAGAAAACTATATACAGTAAAAAAGAAGAAAAAAAAGAGAGAGAAAAATCCTCTTTTTTTTCGATTTTGTAACTGGAAAATATTAAGTTGTAAAGTATTCTACTTCTGTAATGACAACAAGTTCGCACATATTTAGTTAGAGATTGTATTTGTGTAATATGATGAAAAGTTACACGTAATTTAAAAAAAGACAAGCATACGCACATATACATACATAGAAATGATAAGCGAAATGCTATATTTATACATTATTTTATTCATAATTTTGCCATTTTCAAGTAGCTGCTAGATAATATTAAAAATGTAATCCTATTCTCTCTATACAATATTTACACAACAAACATATTTTTAACCTATATTTACTAGACACAGATCATTCACTGCCCTGATTTTTATCAATTGTCAAGTATCGAACGAGAAAGTTGTCGATTAAAATATAATCGTTGTGCTAGTCCACGTTAGCTAATCCTTTAGCCGCAATGTTAAACTAGTTGCTGAACTTAAACTGCCAGTAAGGTGCTGCCAATTCAAAAATCGATTTTTTTCATCATAGTTGGATAGAGCAGATCAAGTTACATTGAAAAAGTAAGTTTCATCTTTTAAAACACATTTTTCTATTAGAAAAATTTCAAATACTGGTTTCTCAAAATGGGTGAAAGTAAACAAAATTTTCAATAAAACTCAAAATTTGTCCTTTTATTCTTGTTTTAAAATTCTAAAACCTATTTTTTTTTGTTATTCTACATCCAAATTCGACTCTAGAAAACGGCTTTTTGGAATTTCAGAACTTGAAATGGGCTCAAAATCCGTGGGACACGAGCAGGATGGTAAAAGTTCCCCACTCTTGCAAACTTACCTAGTCCCAGGATTTTGGAGAAAAAAAAATTTAATTTGCGTCATTCTAATCCATGTACTTGTAAGAAAACAAGTATGCATCGATTTTAGAATAATTTACGTCATTGATGAGAAATTCAACTTTGAAAAAACTTTAGTAAAAACTATAAAATTGAGTCCGTATTTAGTATTTGAACTTTTTCTAAACAAAAAATGTGCTCTAAAATTCTGATATTTACTTTTTCTATATAACTCGAAGCTTTCTATCCAACTATGATGAAAAAAATCGAAATTCTGCTCGATTTTTGAATTGATGGCACCTTATGTTGAAAACATACCTGACTAATTATCGCTACGGATATCGATGTCAATATTGAGCGCTCGTATACCGTTATCATTATCATCATCTTTAAATCTTCTCTTCTCAAAAGAGATCTTTAACTTCTATTTTTTTCTTGACTAGTGAAATAGAGAGAAAGAAAACGGTATCTATGGGATTATTCATTCATTCATCGTGTACATGTACACAACTATCGAATATATTTTGTATATAGTTCTTCGATTTTTAATTTTTTCTTTTTATTTATACTCTTTTCTTACTTTTCAGAGTGAATATTCTACCTCAAACATCATACATTCTTTAGTTCTGTTAGAAACGAGATACATGGAGTATCGTAAATCAACAAAGCTAAAGTCTCTGTTCGTGTTCTCTTTTCTTTTTTTGAGTACCGCAAATGTTTAATTGTTGTCCAGTCGTGTATACATACATACTACATAAAAGAAAATTTTGTTTTTTTTGTATAGACAAATAAATATTAAAACTTTTTAAAAATATTTATTGCAACAGATACTATTTCATGATTAACAATGGTGAAAATTGTATAATATTTATTCATTAACTACCATTTATGATGTGACAATCACGCATATTTATTTTATAATTGTTAATCAATCGATAAGCATTCATGCGTGAAATCTTGGGAAGTGAAATGTCAATGGGTGTTGACATGTTTCGGATGTGTTAATATAGGGTTTGTCTACATAAAAGTCAACTTTTACATAAGTCCATAACTTTTTATGAATCTCTTCAGGCGAACAACATACAGAGGTGAGAAACACCTTATTAGGTTAAACTATGTTTATTTGTAAATAATCCTGGTAGTTCTGATTCTAAGGCGCATGAGCATTATATCGTTGGAAAGTGACCTTAAAAGATATTTTCCTAACCATTAAACACAAACAATAGTAATGAAAGAAAACAGTTGTTCTGAAATAAAAAGAAGTGAAGTAAGAAAGTGATCGTCCTACATTTAAAATCTGTCAGTATCAATAACAGATTGTATAATTAATCATTCTGTAGAGACCTTTATACAGCTCAAAATCCAGATCTTTTCGTAGTAGTATACTACTGCGAAAACACATTGACATAGGCATGAACCTACTATAGTAGGTCATGTCAATATCTGAGTCACGTTGTTCTATTTGTTCAAACAGATTTACTGTTGCTAGACGATAGTTAGGACAAGAAAGAAATGTTTTACTGTTTCAGATCCTCCCCATTCACATAGTTTTTCTGTGGTAATCAAATGTCTTCTAAATAAGTCACTGCTTAAAACTGAAAAATCCACTCTCATCTGTTGAAAAGCGATGTCAGCTGTTCTGTCAATTCTCTTGAGCGGTATATTCTGTCGAAGTAACTAAAAATGTTGTAAAAGTTCCTTCCCAAAACTGCTACACCGAAAAATTGTCTTCATCTTTAAAGGAAGAGTATTCATTTCATAGTGTGATGGTGTAAGGGAAAAAATGATGAACAAAAATTTTCATTCTTTTCGTAAATTGACTGAAGTAAGTTTAAATTATTTGATCGAGCATTATACATGTTATTTCTGGTAAAAGGGATATGTTTACATAAGAAATGCTGTGTTTGATCTGAAACAATTTTATGCATTGGCCTTAATTTAAAAATTTATCAAAAGTAATTTTTGTCTCCATAGGGGTTTCTCTAATATTTTGTTTGCTACTCAAATGCAATGTTTCAGATGCAATTAGACTAGCTCGATATTGTAATGATCGAAAATAGAAATATTATACTTATTTATATAAACCGTACAGGCGTATGTAATAATAGAAAGAACGAAAGATTTATACATTTGATTCAACGTCGATGTACTTAATATTCTTTTGAATTTTTTCATTAGATTTAAAATTTTTTCACACTTACTCAACACATACTGTTGATGTGCATTCCATTGTAGTTTTCTCGTTAAAATCACTCTTAAATATGTATGCCCAGTTATGTCTATGACTATAGCTTTGTTGATATATAAACTACGAACCAAAGTGACAATGAATGAGTGTAACATATTATATACCTTTGGTAAAATACATTTTCTATTAATTATAAATCTTTAACCAAATATCATACATTAAATACTATTCGGTAAAAATGAGAATGTATTATGTTCGTTTTTTTTATCAGAAAAACATGCGACAAATCAATACACTTGGAAAACAAGAAAATTTGGATCATACGAATCTAATCAGTTAACGGGAAGAAAACATTTTGTGCATTTTCCCGACTCGTTTATGCTTACTTGGTTTATCCTAGACAAACTCCTACGTACTTCTTATTTATTTCCTACTAGGATCTTACAGGATCTTAACATTCAGTATCCACCTAATAACTTCCTAGAAGAATCCTAAAACACTAGGATCCAACCAGGAAATTTCTTAAGAGGATAGATATTTTTCTTGTTAAAATCGATTGGTTTAACTTTATATACCTCTAAACATTTGTTTTAAGGAAAAAAGTTTGTTAGTGGAAAGTGAAAACCTATGCCGAATTTTTTGACTTTGAAACCTTTTTTCTTTAATCGTTTTTTTTTGTATTATATATTATTCGATGCAGTTTGACGAGTTGGCTGTTTACTCGTGTGACATTTTTGGTTGAAAATCCTTTTCAAATACGCAAAAGGATATTATATGAAAAACAGCTGATCTTTCTATTTTTAACTCATGCAAAAATATTCATCTATTTATTCTGGTTTATTGTCCAAATCTTTGTATAGACATACCAGAAGTTTGACGACACTCACAAGAATATTTAGTCGAAGTGCAAGACTATTAGCACATGAAAACAATCATTAAAAGCTGTGATGCTGTTCTTAAGTAATTTAAACAAAATTAATTTTTATTAGAATTGAATAAAATGCGAAGAAAAAAAAGAAGTAATTCACACTGTTGATCGGTCGCTACGAAACATAATGCATAGTAGCACATAGGGCACAAACATTTTTCGTTCTATAAACTTGCATATTTACTGCTGCATCTATTTGTTGCTACTAGTATATAGAAAAAAGCTATTTGCCATATGATAAAGCTGTTTATTGTTTTATGTTTTTTACCAGGTCAGATGCGGGAAATTCAAAACGTGAACAGAACATTTTTTTTCATTTTCTTGTCCTTGGATAGAGAGCTCAAAAATGTTCTCATTTTTGTCCATTTTTAAAAAATCAATATTTTAGATTTTTTTATCAAAAAATGTCTTCCGAAAATCTAAAATCAAATGTTTTCCAGATAGCTCGATAAGCTCTATCCAACAATACCAAAAACAAGGGAAAAAAATCATGCTATGTTTATGAATTGGTGGCATATCTTAAGTGTACCCTCTCTTTATTGCAGAAAAGTTTCATCTTGAGCTGAACATAGTCTAATATAAAGGAAACTCTGGACTATAAAATGAGACCACTTCCAGTTCTTCATGACCTTCCTTGAAAAAATTATGAAGTTTTTCCTTCAAAGCCTCGAAAATCTCAATTTTTTTAGGTTCGTAAATTTTTCTCTCCACTTCTATATATTCAAAACTTTTTCTTACACATAGTCTAATAGACGAAAGTGTTCTCTTTAAAATGAGACGTCTTCCAGAATTTTCCGCTTAGTTTTCGTGAAGGTATGCGCATCATCGCAAATGCCCTAAAAAGCAGAGCCCTATGTAGAATGTGTTTTTCTCACTATGCGTTTTTTCGATAGTCCCTTCAATCGGATCACATTATGATTCCTCGAAAAAATGGTCGGATCGAGCTTAAACTTTTACCCCAGAGACTTTAGACCCTGTCTCAGGATGTAAATTTTTCTTAAGCATTTTCGATTCCAACTTTCGGCATGAGAAGGTTTTTAAAACAAAAAAACCGGTTTTTTATACAGGAGTTTTAGTATTTTTCGAATATCTCGAGAAGGAAAGTATATTTTTCGAAAAGAAAAATTAAAATCTTGAGATAAGGTTCAAAGTAAATGTGGTAAAATTTTGAGCTCGATCGAACCATTTTTTCGAGGGGTCGTAATGTGACCCGATGAAAACTGGAGTTTTCTAGAAAACCCATAGAAGAGCACGTCAGAAAATTCTGAGCAAAAATACATTTTCGATGTCCGATCTCCGATATAAATTTCACCTCGATTCGATTTTCAAGAGGGTCAAAACAGAGGGAGGTATCCTTAAATAAGTCAGCAAAGTCAGAAATAACACAAAGAAGAAATGCTAAAGAAAGATTAGACCAGCTTGTCGACATTGTGATAAGGTGTACTCATTTACATTTCTGGAAACTTTTTTTTGTAATATTTTTGTCCACACTCTCATGAATCAGCGATCAGTCATTAAATATATACTGTTGATCATAATTTGTTTATTATCAGATTAAATACGTCCATATTATTGATATACATTTAAATATGAATAGTCGGAGAGTGAGGATTAACAAAAGTATTCAGTTCACAACGAGTGCAAAGGGCGCGTATGTGACATCTAACATTGACACAAAACATTTGAACATTTTGTTGATTGCACAGAGAACACTTTTATGAAAATACGTTACCAACTTTCTCGTTACCAACTCAAATGTCAGTTTTTATTTTATATGTATTTAACATTATTTACTTCACAGTCAACAACAATTCAAATTTAAAAATACAAAAACATGTATAGAAAACAAATATTTATTCAGTATTTGGCTGATACTGAAGAAAATGTGACAGTTCCATAAAAAACGGAGATACCACAAATTACGCACAACATATATTCTATATACAAAAGGACTAGGCGGAGAAAGAAATTAAACTTAAAACGCGTATCTCGTTCTTAGATCTTCAAGTTTTTTCGATACTTCGCTAGGAGTGCGATCCAATCCGTCAGCTATTAGTTTTTGTTTTGCCATATCAAGATTCGAATATTGTTCACATAGATCGCCGTCTATCACATGCTAAAATAGATAGATCCAAACGTGATATAGGCGAAATACATTCTCCCATCATTATCTATTTCACTTACTTTAACCGGAAGATAGTAAGAACGAAATGCACTTTGATCACGACCACATAGAGTTTGATATTCAGAACGCATGTGCATTTCAAGATGTTGAAAAAAATCATGATCCTAGAAGAGGAAAAAACCACCACACACGTGATTATCAGAAAGTATCGAAAATGAAGTTTAATGTGTAATTAGTATTAGACAACTCTAGTTAGATCACATATTTTATGTCAAAATTGTAAACAACAGATAAAATATCGCTTCACATGGATATTTATAACTTTTGTTTTTACATACAATACATACTTCATGAGAGGAAAATGGCAATAAAGCACCAATTGTTCCTGAGATTGTTGTGTAAACAAGTGATTCAGAACCACCGGGTATTAATGTTGCTCGTTGTACGGATGTTACTATTTCACCAATATGAAATTGAGAAAGAACATCACACTAAAAATAAGTATATAGGTATATATATATATATATCAATAATACGAAAAATAAATAACTGAGTTTACTTTACCTTGTTGGATGCACCATTCAATAAGCCACGATCCCACAATCCTTTACTGCCAGTCGGATCAATATCGACCTCATCGTTGGCGTCAGCTGGAAGACGTAACTAAAGAAAGTCAAAAATAATGAAACTAAAGGTACGACAGAAGGGTGTGATACATACAACAGTTATATTTCCAAATTTGTCTGTAACACAAACTGTGCTATAATCTAATAAACAACTAGCTACCGAAAATCGAGGACTTGTATCATCAGCAAATACAATCAACTGATTTTCCATTTTTTTATAACGAATAAAATGTACACTTTCTTGTACATCAGTGGCAAACACACGATGACCCATTGTGTGAAGAGTAATGATATGATTTGGTACATTCTAAATTAGAGAAACGTCCGTATAATTAGAAGTCAAACTAATTTTATATAGAAGCGATAGATGTTCAGTAGCATAGCTGCTTCGAAATAAAAACCACGCGTATTTCTTTTCCATTGCTATGATAAAAGTAGCGCCTTCGATTAAGAGAGGAAAACGAGACAGAGCTCTTCTATGTTTTGAAGAAACTTCGCAGAGATTTCTGAATAATTTTTATCATGATGAAACCACTGAGAATTTTATTACACGACAAATTTTTGCATTTACTACTAACCATTTCACAATATAAGACCCGTGGCTATTTTTTGAATAACTTTTGATTGAAAGCAGCTCGAGGGCTCCGGTTTTCGCCATGCGAAACAAGAGACGTGGGGACGTGTTTTTTATAATAAATTGTGGCTGGCTTATGTTATTCTGAATATATCGTATTATACATAATAGTGGAAAATTATGTATATATCTAACTCGATATTTTCTCAATTCATAACTACAGAATTTCTCACTACTAGCAAATATGTTTTCACGAAAAATTATAAAACTTTTTTTATTCAGTTTGCTAAAATACTCACTTATGTATAACACTCTATATTCAGAATGACATAAGTCAGCCAGAATTTATTGTAAGAAAATATGCTAGTGCAGTGTTGTAGAGTCCGTTTTGCACTACAGAATGACATATGTGATTAGTCATGGGAATCCGGAAGGCGGTTTCTAGAATTCAAATAATACATCTTATTTTTTGAGTTGTTTCGAGTGTTATATACCAGCGTCAACAAGAAACTAATAATTTATGAGTTCTCATAAACCATGATGTCAAGAGATTTTTCAACTTCTTTTTACCATTCTACTTAGTTTAACGAGTACTACAAACTCTGCAATTCCCATGATGGCTTTAGAGGCCACCTGTATAAAGTCAGAGAATATCAATACACTTACTCCGACGTAGTTTCGCCGTAAAGCGGGTTAGACTCATCATTTATATAGATAATTCGCTCAATACAGAAACATCGTCTTGATAAAAAGAAGCCGGGAATATTGAATTTTAACTGTGCAAGAAAATTAATTTGATAAAATAGTATCTAAAAATTTTTTTTTTCCTTCCCTAACAGTGATGATCAACAGACGAAAAACATCACTTACTTTATTTTCACATTTTTTCAACAATTTCTTTTTCCCTATTTCATAAACACGAAGACTTGCTCCAACACTAATTAATGCTCGACCAGCTAATGGGCAAATTGCTCCTATAACAGAGAATAAATAAGAGTTGAGTAGAGAAATTGTCAATAAGTTAAATTATGTAATATATGCATTAGTTATCATCAAATGATATGCAGAAACTGATAGTCTTCTCTTTTACCTGGCACTTCATCAATAACTGTTCTATGTATAAAATGTAAACGTTCACCATTTTCAAGTACAAGAAAACAATATATAACACCACCGAGATGTGAACGTGGATTGAGTACTAAATCTTTTGCTACACCAATTAGTAAAAAAGTATCCGCAGGTCTCGCTTCGAATCTCATTAAACTGATACTGGAATAAAAGAAAATAATACAACTAAAATAAAGAATTATTCTGGTATAGCACAGTGCAAACCTCTGAGCCGATTCGTTTTGTTCAAACTCATGGACAAATTTTGTTTCACCACTAATCGGGTCCATAACTCGCAATTGCGAAGCCCACATCCCGATTGCACCTTTTGGTGTACCAAATATTTCTTCGGGCAATTTTTCTGATAAAACAGCCGCTGCCATTTCTGATGCTAGCTCTTTATCGTCTTCATCGGCTGCATCAACCATTTCCTAGAAAGATAAATCAGAATGTTTAATTTTGTTTTAACAATAAGAGAACGGCTCACTTTTGCCATTTGTTCTCTCCTATGTTGTTTTGTTAGTTCGGTATAACAAACATGATCTGTTTCAATTAAATATATAATATTCGTTTCGGGGTGTAGAACAAAACGACGAGGCGTATATTTCAGTGGACGTACTTCCTGATTGAATATTACACCAAGTTTTTCTAGTGTTAAGATTCTGAAAATAAAAACGCTTTAGGTCATTTATTAACAAAAGAAAATCACACAACTACTTTCAAAGTACGCAAAATGTATTCACCTTAATGTATTGCCAGAGATTGCTACGATACCTTCTGGACATTGTTCACTGGCAAAACCGGCTGCATACTCCAACGATTCATACGATAATGGTGTTAAATGAAATCGTCCTTGATATGTATAGCTTAACCACGTACGACTGGACATCGCAAGCACCTAAACGAAAAAATAATGTCTAATAAAGGCGAATGTTCGCTCGTTTTACAATATGTAAAATTTTCAGCAGAAAAATCATAGTTTTGCTTCAAATTTTCATTTCTTTCAGAACAATAAATATCAATAGGATGTTGTTTGTCGTACGAGTCATTATTACGAGAAATACTTACTGCCTCATTATTTTGCATTGATATTCTAAATAGTTTAACGGGTCTTGAGCCAAGATAACGCGTTCGTGTATCAGACATATCACCGGTAACAGAATCTAATACACTACGAAGCAATACACCATTCTAAGGTAAACTAAAATTAGTGCAATATGTATTATAGAGTAGAGCAATCATTTGTATACCTGAAGTCCAATATTAAGATAGGATGTTCCAATTGATCTCGTTTGTGGATCCCGTCCTCCACTGGCATCAACCACAATACCTTCAGTCGTCTTCATTTCAACAATACATAAAGATTCAGCCGGTGCCGGTAGTGCTTGCATACTTAATCGAGTGAGACAATCCTAGAACCAAAATGTAACCTTCGACAAACAGAAAAAAAGCACTATGACATTCTTTTTACTTGTGGATCAAGTGAAATAATTCGAACTGTACTATCGGATAAACCAACGGCTAAGAATCGTGATCTTTGTTCATTTTCAGGCACACTGCCCAATCCCATACACACTACTTCACCGGTCATTTCTTTACGTTCTGTATATTCATTTAATTGGCCAGTCTAATACAACAAATACGTATAGTAACATATATCAGATATTGAATACTCTTACTGAATCCATTTCAAAATACACCAGTTCACCGCCAGTTAATGCAATAACTACTTGACGTTGATTCACAACACACTGAGTTATTGTTCTTTTCCCTGGTGCACGCCATTCGTTAACACGTTTATCAGCTCTTATATGTCGTATTCCTTCACGATAAATCTGAAAGAATAAACGTGACAATCAGAAAAAAATAGTACTTTGAAAGAAAGGGCACAACTATACCTGCACAAGTGCATCTTCACCGAGTTGTGAACAGCTTAATGTCGGTGTTGTTCCAAGAAAACCAGAATCAGTCACTTCTTCAACAGTTTCACCAATAGACAAAACCAGAGTTGCGTTAATAAATGAAACAATAATGTACGCATCGAAATCATCTGAAATGCACAGAAAGAAATGAACATATATGAACTTTGTAATTACAAGGCTTTAGTTCATACCATCTGCGCGTCGCTTTACTGTCCAAACGGCATTTGGATTACCAGGCAGTTCTGACACCGCCATTTCGGTTACCTGAAAAAATTCAATCAATAAAAACTATTTTTACAGAGCCACTAATGCTAACTTACTTCTAATCCGTGTCTTAATATTCTGAGGCTTGAACGTGGTCCACGTCCGCATGCAACATACAATTGTGGCGTATCTTCATTAGCTAAATCGGCTATGTGACATGCCATTATCGGTGATAAACTATCCATTTCATCAACTAATATTAAATTTTTCAACTTTCTTGGCACAAAAAAAAAAGTATCGCCTTCTTCAAGTCGCTCAGATGAACTAAATTCTGGCTCTTCATCGTCTCCTAGATTTGATACTTGATACAGATAACTAAACAAAAAATGAAATTACTTATTGAAAAGTTAAATGTTTGACGTGATAAAGACTTACTGATTGCCGAATTCTGATGCAACAAATAAAAACCCAGTTCTCAACACACACATCGCCGAAGCAACTGGCACCGTATCAAAATATTTGAGACGAATTTCTGTCACCTAAATGTAATAGCAATAATAACTTTGAAGATAAATAGACTCTTGGGAGAGCAAGCCGATTCTGACAATGGGGTGTTCCTCTCTTTCAATTGAGGAAGAGATAGAGTGAGCCAGACTGCCAATAAGCGATTAAAACGAATTGGAAATCAAAGACCACATACGCTCTTCTAACGCATAATCAGTAAAAACTCATCATTTTCTATCAAGTTAATGGCAGAATACATAATGGAAAGAGTTCTTAAACAATTATATGGAATAAAAACCTAGCAGAAAATTCACGCTTACAAAATCAGTACAATTTTTATTCACTACGACTCTGAGTAACAAAAAAACAATTCCTGCTCACCATTCCCATATCCGGATCGTGATTAAGTGTAACTTTAAATAGATCACCTTGTTCGGTTTGTACAAGAAAAAAGAACATATTTTTTGTTTTGTGCGTTGCACTACTGACAAATATTATTGAACGTTCTGGATCATCCAAATCACTCTGCGAGAAAAAAAGAAAGAAAAGTAATAAATTAAGGAATTAGCAAACAAATGGTCACTCACTCTTCTTTTAGGAATCGGACATCGAATATCTGGTTGATCACCAAAATTTTTAAATGTTAAATAATTTTCGGAACATATTAATACACCACTCGGACCTTCATTTCCACCAGGTACTGTTATTAATAAATTGGCAAATTCGTCTAAATGCTCTGAATATTTCCGAACAACATGATTTAGACCGAGATCCAATTCGTAAAATGTTAAAGTTTGTTTCACATCTTTTAAAGCTTGACCCGTTGGATCATTATCCACCTCCTAAAAGGTTAATATTGCATGTTTCCATCCTGTTAACAGATGTAAATAAACATACTTCATAATCAACTTCAAGACAAGCGAATATTGGATTTTCGAAACCAACATCAACACCAACAGTATGAAATGTAATTGTATTTGCTTTGTGTGCTTCTAACGGAGACGAAATTGTTAGACGCGCTTGTGAATCACGATTCAGTATATAAACAAGTTTTTGTTTTTCCACAGCACCTAAAACAATAAGAACGTCGAATTAATATTTTTGTCAAGAGGATGAACAATAAAAAACAAAACTAAAAAACTTTCTTGTAGAGCAAATAATTTGTAATCGATTATATAAGGATCAAACGTAATCATTTAACGTCATAGTAGTGGCCCAGCGACACGCAAGATCATCATCTCCTTGAAACGAACTCATGTCTACTATCAAAAATTGCTATTAGGCCAGATACTCATGTAGAACCGCACAACTCAGCATATATATATATATATAAGATCTAAAATCTTACCAATCATTAGTGCACGACCTTTTGGATCAACAGCTAGAAATTGACCGGGAACAATTCGACGGCATCCAGATTTTCCAAAGGTCTCCTGATGAACCTAAATAAGTAAAGCTTACTTGATTTAATATTAAATCGAAGATAAAGTAGAGAGAGGAAGAATTCTTACTTTTTCAAGTGTATTTTTGGATGCATTGTATTCCAGTATCAATATTCTACCAGAATCAGAGCCGATGACAATATAATCTATTATATTATAAAAAAGAAGTGATAAATAAAATATGTAACTACAGATTCACGTACTGACCTCTATTACTACCAGTTAGACGAATTGGTACAAGTGATCGAATTACACCAAACACCTCCACCGTAAGTAATGTATAAACTTTTCCAGTAGATGGATCTGGCTTTAAAATTTCAAGTACTTTACCTCTTGACACACATATTTCTTGTTGTTTTGGCCCAGAAAAATTTCCATGTATACAATGTGTGATGCCATTTGGTCTTTGCAGGGTCAAGTTGTAAAGATACATCTGAGAAAAGATATACTATAAACAGCTCTACTTTTATTTTACAAGCACACATTATGCGCAGCTCCTAAAGCTACTTTACTATCATATCCTGAGCGGCAACACTGTAAATTTGAAAAAAGCAAAGTCTGTGATTTTTTCATCTACTTTTCTCTGAATCACATGCAAAAGTTCGTTCCCTTATTGAGTAAGATCCGTGACATATGTGATCACGGGCTTTTCAACCTGAAAACTGTCAGTCAGTTCCGTGAAAATATGGAGCAAAGTGCGTAAAAAATCACAGAGCTAACTGACAGTTTTCAGATTGCAAAGCCCGTGATCACATATGTCACGGATCTTACTCAATAAGGGAACGAACTTTTGCATGTGATTCAGAGAAAAGTAGATGAAAACATCACAGACTTTTCTTTTTTCAAATTTACAGTGAAGAAAGCCACAGAAGGTAAGCCAATATATTCTAGTTTTTTCTGTGAATGAAAAAGGAGGGATAGTCACACATGTATTACAGGAAGGGATTTACGGCTAGAAAGAGAAAAGTTCACCTGACAACAAGATACTATTTAGAATAACGGCTTACAAATGAAATCAAAAAAACCTATCGTTCGTCTGTTTTTTCGTTCGTTGTTTTCTCTTTAGACAAAAACTATGGAAAGCAAAAGATATACTAGACTAATGGATGGAAACGACAGCGACCGATCCAGAAAAAATTTCGAATAGGTGAGGATTTCCACAAAATTAGTCAGTATGTAGGATTTTTACGGAGAATTAATTGATCGACAAGATGGGTTAATCCATTTTTGAATCAGAAGGCGCATTATGACATTTAAAACCCCGGCGAATACAGCTGCACCCATCGCAAACTGTCCAGTGGGAACGCTAGGAGTAGCATAACGTTTAACTTTTTCGTCTAGCGTAATCGAACTACAAAAAAGTTAGCCAACAGAACCTCTCAACAGTTTGTCGTTTCCGTGAAATAATGACCATGATGAAAATGTGGACTGTGAACCCTTTTGATTTTTTAAAATTTTCTTTGCTAAAATTCAAACAAATAGCGACATTAATAAAAGAAAAATAACTTATTGGAATAACAATAGTTTGTTTTAGACGAAGGGGGGTTTTAAAGCGGTATGGAAAGAGATGTCACTTGTCGTCGTTACTATTGTTTGAAAAAGTAAGTGTGAGTTCCACACGTTAAACATTGATTACACTTTTTCATGCAACTAGATTTTGAGTACATATCATCGATATAGGGCTTGTTTTACTTTGTTCACACGGCATTTAAAACTCGTTTATCCCAGAGTTTTTCCAGTCTTGTACCGTCTGAACGCGGTTATTTGTAACTACTTATTATCTAGTTCTAAAACTCAGTTTATGCTTAGATTATATAGTCAGCTAGCCCTAGTCCCAAAAAACGTTTATATCTTGATCAGATCTTACAAAATTATTTGTCCAACAGGTTCTTTGACAAATCTTACCAAGATCTTGAAGCAGATTTTAACAGAGCATATCACTGGAAAAAAAAATAAAGTTGGTTTTGAGTTGCTGAAAAGTGTTTTTTCGCGTTCAGCACACTCGATAACCCGGAAGATTTTCTATTTTGGCGAGGAGTACTTCCAAATGTTTAGGAAAAATTTTCAAACTAACATTACTTTTCCCACTGGAATTTTTCGGTGCATTTTGTTTCAAAATTTTTCCTAAACTTTTTGAAGTACCCCTCGTCAAAAATAGAAAATCTTCCGGTTATCGATTGTGCTGAACACGAAAAAACAGTTTTCAGCAACTCAAAACTAACTTTATTTTTTTTTTGTTCCGGTGATATGATCTGATCTTGACCATCTTCAACAATAACTTGATTAAAAAACGGTTTTCAAAACAAGTATCTTGACAAAACTGTATCAAGATACGCTCATGTTTTTTGCAAGTTTCTTGAATTTTGTTATTTTGAATTAATTTTAAGATTAAAGAGTTTTTTGACCTCGATAATAAGTTTTATTGCTCAGCAAAGAGGAACGCAAGATGCTAAGTGGATTAGCTACATTCTAGAGCATTGAGTAAGTAGCTTTACCCACAGTTCCTTGGAAAACGTTCTCGGTTGACGAGCTGAAAATATCTTTCTGAAATTTTGAAAATCTCGATCCCAGCTTGTTTTTCGAAACTCCAGCTCTTGGCATATCTAAAACTCTGCCATTCGAATAGAGGATCATTTTTTACCTCTAAGATCTAAAAGCAGTATTTGTTAACATCTTCATTTTACTTTTCCAGCGAGAAAAGTTAAAAGGCACTGTATTCCAGCTGTTTTGACTTAACGTGTAACACTACTCCTGTCTCTCCTCTCATTCAAAACTTGGTGAAACTTTTTCTGTTTGAGGTTTTTAATTCATATGATGTTTTACAGCCATCGCTTTTGTTTAAAGTTTTTAACTATTATCTTTTCCATTGTGTCACATTACGACCGCCGTTCGAATTTCATCCGATCGAGTTAAAACTGTAACCAGAGATACTCAAGGTAATATCGCAGAGGGATTTTTGGAAATTTTTTTAAAACCTTCCTGATCGAGTTATAGGAAAAATATTGAAAAACGTCTTAAAAACCAAGTTTTTCAGTTTTATGAGCCCTAGAATTCGGTAAAGAAAGGTCTAAAATAAAACTCAGAACAAATACTTCTGCAATAGTGTCTTGAGTACATCTGATAAAATTTTTCACCTGATCGAATGAGATTTAAAATTTAAGATTTAAGAGATCATGTGACACAATAAAGTCCGGTAGCAAAAAAATAGTTTTCGAGAAAAACGCATTTTGTACACAGGTCACTTTTTTCAGGATATTTGCCGCGATGCTTATATCTTCATGAAAACTCATAGGAAAATTCTGAGAGACGTCTCATTGTGAAGAGAACACTTTCTTCTATTAGACTTTGCATAAGAAAAAATTTGAATGTACAGGAAAGGAGAGAAAAATTTATGAAACTAAAAAACAGAGTTTTTTCAGACTTTGAAGGAAAAATTTACAAAACTCACAACTTTTTGAAGAAAGGTCGTGGAATGCTGAGAGGGGTCTTATTTCGTATCCCAGTCTTTCCTCCACATCAGGCTATGCTCAGCTCAAAATCTGAAATTTTTTCAAAAAAGCGGGGTAGGATACCCTTAAATGACTTCCAAATCTCGTAGATACCAAATAAAACATCATACAGACTTGGAAGACATTTCATTTTGTAGAGAAGTGTTTTCTCTATCTACTGTATAGCCTACAAAATTTTCATGCGTCTGTGGTCCTCTATAATACCTGGAGAAGTAAAAGATTCCTAGTATCCTTTCTCAAAATCCACTCATGAATCAAACTTTATTTTTACATATTTTATAAATATTAGGTTGTTCTTTCAAACATAAAAAGTTTCATAAAGTTTCATGAAGTTTCATGAAGTGATGATATTTTTGTATATCGAATAAAAGAGAACTCGATGTAAATCTTTCGTATGTATCGAGGGTACGAAGTCTCATTTTCCGAGGGGTCGAGACCTCGGCGAGGACCCATTTTCGAGGACTCGTCGCTCCCCTCGAACGACTTTTTCCATCTGTATGGGTGTTTACAGTGAAGGAACATGAAATTCAAAGTAGATGTAAATACTGGTGATATTCAAGAAGACCATACGTTTTACCTCACAAAAACCAAGCTAATTTTTAAAACAGTTTTTTCATTGTGTCTCCTATAATTTTCTGTGCGAAGAATTATACAACCTCGCCCGAACGTGTATAACAGATCTACCGTGTTATCAACGATTCAGATTTAAAATAATCATCAGAAATAACATGATGTACAATCGTCTCATGAATTACAGTTCTTCGTCTTGATGCAGAAGTTTAAAAGAGAAAAAAATCTATAACTGTTTACAGTTTTTCTCTTTTAATCTACTCAAATTATTGCCTACCTGCTTCTTGTTTTATCATTTTTATCACATTATTATTTATAACGCCAATCATCTTAATTAGATATTCATTTGATTTTAGAGTAATGCTCACTTCGCTCTCGGGATCAAATATATTATTATAATACACAGTCGATAGATTAGTTCTGTATTGACGCCTGTACAGACATAGTATAGTTGTAAATCAATTCAACTAGATATAGTTCTATAAGCTTCTTATATAGAAATAGTTATTGTCATCTAAGAACATTCTAAGCGTAAAATTAACAAAATTGAAAAATTAGAAATTCTACACTTACATTATGAAACTAATTAAATTTTCAACTCAATCCTCACATTGTCAGAATTTTGTCCGAAACTTTTTAATTTGAACAAAAACAGTCATAAAAGACAATAAGAAGACAAATGAAGAAACATCTGTAAAAATTTCAGTCAAGAAATTTATTCATGACATCAGACAGTAAGATTTTGTAAAATACAAAAATATAGACTTAGTCGTATTTAATGGAGCAAGTGTTGTTCATTTAGACAGAAAAGAAACGTTGTATATTTACTACATGACACTGATCATTATCAAAGACTGAAGGAAGAAAAGAGTAGGGTATAAAGAGAGAAATTAAATTGAGATTTGAAAAATAAAAAAAACATCAACAACTAAAAAACGATATCTGCAACATATATCTTAGTATTTCTATAGAGATATCTAGTCTTTTCATAGAGTAGATGTTTTACCAAACTTCATGGGTAAATTGAATTAATTGAATGGATAAAATACTATCAACTAAGTTATTGCGCTACGATTGTTCGACGGCACTCATGGATCTAATGATGAAAATTGTAGTTATATTATGTAGAGACGAAACACATTACACTGTTCAAAGTCATATATTTTTGATAAATATTTTTTATATGAATGCAAATAACTGCATAATATTTACAATGAACGGTCTTTTTCATTTCATGGCATATGCATATATAATACACTATTGTAGAATTCACAAACTCTATTTGCTTTGACTACAATTCTCTGGGGTGTTCCGTCAATAATCTAAAGCTTGTCCACTTGAATACAGTCAAGTCAACAATTTTATATGATTATGTGTCGATACGGAGTTGATAAAACATTGTTTCAAGACAATGGTTAATAGGTTAAATTGAAATTAAAACAAACTTAAGTCAAAACTAACAGTTAAGTTGACCATCAGATATTGAGTGAACAATAAAAACTATTCTAGATTTTCAATGAAATGATCTTCTGTATTCTGTGATCCATCACATAATAAAAATTATCTTTTATTGTCTCTCCACATCTTGATTTCTAAAACTTACATACAAATGAGAATCCCATCAACCGCTCCATTAAATGTGATTTGTTAAATCACTAAATTGAACATCATAAGAAAAATACTATCAATGAACTAAGATTGTGATTGGAGTAAACGCACACATTCTCTATTGCAGATATCCGGTTCATTCATAAATCGTTCATATTATTCCAGGCTGCGACTGAAATCATTTTTCTCCTTCGTATACATACAATAACAAGATCTGATACTGATCTTACCTTCTCCCACTTGTAATTATGACATTTGTGCTCAAAATGTTGTCTGTTGATAAGTTGTGTAATACAAACTAGCTATATATGCATCGTAAGAATTTACTGATGGTTCATTATAGTTCAAAGATTCATGATATAAATCTATATAATAAATAGAAATGTGCACCTATAGTTACAAAAAACAACAACAAAATAACGGGAATAAAGGGTAAATCCATTTTAAGCAGATGTAGCTGAACAACGTTAGCACATGCTAAGTTATGGTTAAAGGAAAGGCATTTATACACCGAATTATTAACAAAAAAATATATATATGTATGGGTATCTCATTTCATCAGGAAAAATTCAAGATTATAAAACTTTGACACGATGAGAATAGTATATTTCATCTCAGATCACTCTCATTAGGTATCAGCTAAAGTTATCATGCGAGAAAGAATGAAACTACCTAATCTGTTTCATTTATACAATCTCGTTGGATTTTGAACAAGAAAGTAATTGACTTTCTCTGAACTTTTCGCTTCTCAAAAGCAAAGAAAGTATCACGCATCGTTGTTCAGTGTTCCACGATTCCAATCATCGTTTGCAATTATCCGATAGAGACGGATTAAAACGTAAAATGAATAGATTTGTCTCATAGCACATTCTTGAAGTGTCTTGATAAGCGATCTATTGTCAAGTTAGGACATCGCAATAGCGATCGATATTGCTTCAGTGTATTTATACAATATATATTTTTATTTCGTAGTTATTTACACTGTAGATGCCGACAAAGTACTTTGTCATTATAGACATAGTACTCGGAACTCACACTGTTCTTATTATTTATTGCTACCTAAACTCTCAGAGTATTTTCTATTCCTATGAAAGATCAACTTTAGTTGAATATTAAGCGCACATATTACAGAAAAAAATTGAGAACAAAAATAAATACTTGCAGCATCAAATTCGAACTAAAGCTAATTGTAGCAAGTACAAACGTAGCTCATTTATTCTCTTAGTATTTTAACAGATTCTACTATCTTTTAATGATACAACAGGTCCATTTATACATAGAGAAGTTAAAGCATTGTCATATCGGTATTACATCAGCCTTCTTGGGGCTGTTGTAGCAAAAAATATACGGCTTTGTATTAATCTCTTCGATTCGAATTCAATTTAGATTTTCTGCATACGCATAGTTAAAACAACTACATAAGCAAGCAAGTCATCATTTGGTACTAAATTTTCGTATAAAATAAACGAATGAATACTTTTTTTTACATCTGTTCAATTACATTACCCCGAGAAATGTTGAGAAAGTGAGATGAAACATAGAGAAAAATGTATTAGTGCTGATTTCTGTTTTCTACTGTGGAAATATTCCATAAGGAGCTGGTGGCACGAATGTTGAATTGTTGAACGAATTATTACTCAATAGCATGTCACGTATTAAACTTTCAATCGGTGTTTTGCCCACTAATCTTACAAAAAATATTTGTTCAATAATTTGAGACGAGACAATTTTTAATGATGGTAATCGTAGTAATAATTTGCCAAATCGACTAGCATGCGCTGGATATTGTCCTTTAACATATTCTTCTAAGGCTAATAGAGATTTTTCTTGTAAATTATCGATATGTTGAGGATCGGATAAATTTGGAGCATCTAAAAAGTATAAGAAAATATCATTGCCACAGTATGTTTTTTTTTAAAAATACAAAGCTTAATTTCTTCAATTACCTGGTGAAAAAAGAACAACGGCTTTTAAACATGAGTATTCTGCATGATCCAAATGTAATGCTTTTAATTTTTCCACTTGTTCTTGAAATTTTCTTGTATGATCTAGAAATGTTTGTACTTTTTCAGCTGGTATTGGGCTTGTATGTATCCCACTTAATATAAGCAACTGTGCTGCTTGAACAGGCATATTACATTGTGACGCATTTAATAGGAATAATTCACTCCATGTTATTTGTAATAGAATACATTGATCATTCAAATTCAGTTCTTGAAAAAACGGCACATTTCTTGCCCATTCAACAGCGCCAAACAATAAACGTGCAGCTAATTCACATACATTTTCCATCGAGACAAAATTTGCTTGGGATAACGGACTAGTAGCTGATGCTGTTGTGGCGGTGGTAGATGGTGTTGATGATATACAATTTTGAAAGAATGAGTAGGGCTCAGCTCGTACTAAATGTGAAATGTACGTGTTCAAATACGAATGTGCATTATTAATATCAGGATTAAACGAAAAATGTCCATAGGCTCCACTTGTCGTAGACGGTACTCGACCGCGTTGAACAGCTAGATAGAGAGAAATTTATTTATAATTATCGAGTTTACAACAATCGCTGATAGATGAGCACGTAAACGTTGAAACAAACCTTCTCTTCTCATTCCCATCTTAAGACATTTTTTAAATCGACAGTACTGGCATTGATTACGATGATGCGTATCAATTGGACAGTTACGACTTCCTCGACATGTATAATTTAAATTACGTCGAACTGAACGTTTAAAAAACGATTTACATCCTTCACAGCTAAAACAAAAAATGAGAATATGATGGAAAAAATGTCATTTTTTACCAGTTAAAAGATAACTTAAAGTATTTTCGAGTAATACCTAAATTGACCGTAATGTTTCCCTGAACTTTTGTCTCCACATACAACACATTCAATTGTTTGTTTATCACTCGTGGAACCAGTTAATGAACCGGTTGAATGTATTTCATGTTGATCTAATGAGCTACCATTAGGCTCAATTTTAGGGATAACATGATGGTGATTTCCATTTGCTGTTGCGGCTGTGGTATTTATCGTGGTTGATGAGGCTAAATGGAATAAAATAATTATTGTACATCTATTCATGGTCGAGAATTGAAAAATATCACTGTATACCATCACTGTATGTGCTTCTTGCTGTTTCAGTCGATGTTGAAGTGATAAAATGATGATGATGTTGAGGTGTGAGCGCTTGTTGAGAGGACGAAGACGAAGAGGATGGCGCTGTCGATGATGAACGGTTTGAAATCTGTGGATCAATTGAAATACCGGAGTTCAGTGAGACGATTCGATTATTGATGCTCGCTGACCAAGGTGGTGTTGAATGCATAACGGTCATTGGCGATCCAAAAGCAAAAGCTAAAATACAGTATAGAGTTCAAGCATTTAATATTAATCAAGCGATTTGATAGGCAATGCAAAATGTTGGCTCTTAAATAGGCATAGGCATTTGTATGTCCCATATAGACAAAAGGCAAATGACATGGTATAAGAGTGGAATCAATAGTATATTTATCCTCGATGTCTTACAGCAGTCTACTTTTGAATATGAGGATCAATTTCTACTATAATTAGAGCCAAAACGTTAATATGTTGTGTATCGGTTAACTTTCTAATATATGAAGAAAGCAGTTCATGCATTATGTATAAGCCAATCGTTTATTTTTAACAAAAAACAGGAAAAAAACGCCAATAGATCTCTAACATTTAATCACTTGGTAAAAGTTCAACCAGTTAAGTATCATTCCGAGTAAAAAAAAGAGAAAAGAAATGAACATGTGTGTACATTTTTCTCTTTCTCTTATGTTCATCCTGTTCCTCTCATAATTCATTGAAGCATGTTATAGTTTATGTATTGTAATCATCATTATTATAGCCATGTTCCAATAAGAAACAAAAGTTCCTTTTTTTTTCTTTTCTGTTCTTATTCTTTTATTACTGCCGTTTATGTATAGTAGCAAACTTCATATTCAAAAAAACAATTTCTTGTCATATGTCCCTTAACACACCAAAACAAAACAAAAAGAATCGGATAAAGAAAACCTATACTCAAAACAATAGTCCTGCTGTCAACTTATTCAAAGTGATCTCCGGCAGCAGGAGAACAAATTTAATGAGCATGAAATTTGTTCAATAAAGATCATTTTAAATTAAAAACTACGATCACTACGTACAATAAATATGCCAATTTATTTTCATTTTTGTTTTGTTTCTCTTTGTATTCTTGAACTTTTCACACATTTTATTACAAGAAAAACAATTTTTATTGGCAAACTGCATTGATTTGTCCAGTCGTATCGCGATACGCAATTGACTTCTAATTAAAAAAGGATGTTAAGGGTGAAGTCGATGTTGAGACAACACTATATCAACTACATTCATTTATACGATAAGACGGAAACTGATAGAAGTTTAGTTTTTATGTGTAAAATTGTGAAAGATATGTTTTTAGATATCAGATATTTTCCTAGTACTATCTAACGAAAATTTTTTTATACATCCGAAATATTTTTTTTATCGCGATCAACATATTAAAACAAAAATAATGGATTAATTTTGCATTAGCCTTCAGATGTTACATAGTTTCCAAAGTAAAGACCTGTGTGGTGAATAAATTTTTCTCGCTAATTTAATACTTGAATAAATTATGTTTTCTAGAAGACTCTTCTTCAATAAAGGCATATTTGAAAGTGTGGAACATTGATTACAATTCATCAAGTGTTCTTTAAATATTCGAGCAAAGTCGAAAATTGTCTCGTTTTTCTTTTCTCTCCCAGTAGGTAGAGAAATCTTGAAAGTAATAATGGATAGTTGAATGAATAATTTAAAAAGACAGTTCAGATGCAATCTCAGTGTTTGACTAATTTCTTTCCTCCATCATACGTCTCTTCTTAGAAAAAAAAACTGATTGTAAAATCTATATCAAATTGTGATGTTACTACATTAGCAGAAATTTCATTTGGGGTTATTCACCATAGACTGAATGTGTAGTATGAAAAGAAAATATGTTTTGCTACAATATGTATATATCAATAATTATGGCTATCTATAATGATGATTAATGCTATTTGAACACGTGTAATTGATTAAGAGTGATAATGGAACTGATATCTTTTAAATATATCAGCTATATCTATGACAAATCGTGCTCACATTTAACATACTTTTGTTGTGCAAATAGATTTTACTATTGTCTGTGGTAGCAATGAAAGAAAATAACTGAATTAATCAAAAATATCACTAAGTAAATGTTGTATAGAAACAATTTTTTTTGTTTTACATACTACTCTCTAAAAAATTTTCGTATCGTACAGAACCAAAAAAGGGTATTTCCATGCCGGGATACCTTTTTTGGAATCTCTGAGTAACAAATGCAGATACACTTTTATTTTTTTAGTTCTGTGCACTTAGAATAATCGTATTTTACAATGCCATTTTAGTATTTCAGTGTACCCTTTTTAATTTTGTAAGATTTCTTTGAGAATATTCCTCATTCCACAGAACCAAAAAAAGAGGATCTCTGCATTTGTTTTGTTACTAAGAGATTCCAAAAAGGGTATCCCGGCATGAAAATACCCTTCTATGGCTCTGTAAGATATGAAAATTTTTTAGCGAGTACAAGCTACTTTTCTCTTCTGAAATTCTTATACTGATCTTAAAGAAAAGAGATCAGATAATCATTCAAACTTAAATTTCACATATACATATAAATATACTGTATAAAAATTTGCATAGTTATTACTATTCATAAAAATAGTCAAAGTATTGAAAACGGGTTTATAGAAAAACTCTCTATCCATAAATCGTTTGAAACATCAATATGAACAAAAAATTTGAGACATTTTATCTTAACAAAAGGCTAGTGTAAATAGTAAATAATTTTTTTTGATTTTAAACGATACATAGATTACAGTCGACGCCAGACTAACAGCTCAAGGAAAATAACAATTGCAATTATTCAATTAATGTCAAAAAATTTAATTGTACTATTTTAAGAATAAGAACTCTTATTACTTACAGTCCATAGTAATTTTACAATAAAAAATTAGAAATATTTTATTCAAAATTCTGATTTGAAACGAGATATTGATCAATAAAAATTATTCTTATTGAACTTGTCACTAATAGAATCAACATGTTCAAAAATGAAATTATGAAATATCTCATTAAAGTAATTCAAAAATACAATATAATTTCATGTTTATTTAACAGGCCTTTGGTCGCCAAAAACAGAACACTTTTGATTTATATTTATTCGCTATATAGAGAAAAATAGTCGAAAAATGGAGAACAAACAAACACTAGATAGAAATATAGAGAAAATGCAAATTGATAATACAAAAAATTCTGATATATTTTTCTCTTTTTTTTTTTTTTTATTTTTCTACTATATAACACAATCATTTTTGGTTTTAATGACGTATATATATTCTCTAGTGGAACTTTTTCTCTTTTTCTGTTATGCAGTATCTGTACACATTTATGAACACTTACTGTAAGAACAAAACAAAATGATACAGAAGAAAAAGAAGAAAAATTAGAGTTATCAAAGACAAACTAGGATCGTTAACTGTAACCTATTGTAACTTTGTGATTGAAATAAGACGACACCGGTCACTATTTAGAATGCCCTTTGTTCTATATCATATGAGGTAAGTTGATACGCACATAAACAAAAAAAATGTCTAATCATCTTCTCTCGCTCTCTTCTAATTGATTTTCATCCTACGTTCAACAAAAAAAAGCAGAAGTCTGCTTTTCTTTTCTTTTTTTACAGAAGTGCACAAAGTCAGGGTCAGAATAGAACCAATATCTTCTATAATTCTATGATCGAGAAAGAGAGAGAGAGAAAGAGATCATGCTCATTCCAAGGATTAATTCAATATTAGATAGATCTTTTAAAATATTTAAAAAATTTTGTTTCCATGTGACGTATATCGTCTCAGAAAGTGGTTGTCCTACATCAAGATCTGTCTTTCTCTCTCATATCTATCATAAAACATCGAGCGGTCAAACTTAGAATATAAAAATATCTTTATATAATCAAACGACATAACTTACGTTTATAAATTGCAAATGTGAATGACAATCAAAATTCAAGTGAAAAAAGAAAAATAGTATGTCTCAGAGTATGAAGGAGACACGTCTAGAATTGATCACACACAACAAAGGACGTGTACAAAGAATAGTAAAAGGTGATCTTACAAACAACTAGTATACGTAAAACAATAAGAAAGAAAAAAAAAAAAACGTCAAGGTAAATTACTAGAGCGGGTGACAAATGTAAAAAAGGTTAAGCAAACGATATATTTCAAATACAATGTATCTACGCAGGTTCTATGTTATTTCTTATATAGATATATACTAAAGGAATAATAATAATAATAGGAGAGATAATCACATAAAGATCAAAACAGAGGAACAACTAGTGTCGACTTTTTTTTAATATTCCTGTTGAAAGGAGACAACAGGAACAAGGAAGAACAATTTTAAATTGAAAAGCTTTCGTCGTCAAAATGTCATCTCTACAAACATTCTTTTACCGACGACGTAAAACCTTCATACGTATAAGACTTTCAAGGTGAGAGATTAAAATACAACCTTTGGAGAAAAAGAGAATTGTATACTCAAGAAAGAAAAAAAGTATTTAAAGATGTCTGAACATAGATAGTATTTATTCTCGAAACTAAAATTAAGCAACATAATCTGAATAGAATATTGTCGTTACTTCTTCAATAATGTCTACATTAACATTCTTAAAATATTCATTGAAATAACAAGAAAAAGAAAAAAAAAATAGTTTAAAAACTAAACAGATTTCTTTTTTTCTCTCGTTTTGTTGTTTATATGGAATCACCACATATATACGCCAATCCACAAATACGTATAGTATATAATGTAGAAGTTTGACGCATATATTCAATCATCTTTTACAAAAACATGTGAACATGTTATGTATCTGAATTGACCTAAACTAATTTTTGGACAAAAGTAACCGAAGGATATATGAATGAATAGTAATACATTCCTCTAGTTGTACGCGTCATATACACATTATTTATATATATACATATGATAAGTATAATTGTGTTTTTTATCATCATTTGTACACGAGAAGGTCTAATCAGAGAAAAAAAAAGAGATTTTGTTCAATGTACAACTTAATATTTGGGAAAGAATAGTGTACTCGTATATTTTCATTAGAGTACCGTTGAATGTGACGCAAAACACGTTCACTATGATATTTACATAAAATAATACATGACGAAATATTTGCTAGTTATCTTTGTTAAAAGAGAAAAATAAAACTATTTTGTCTTTTTGTGTTTCCATTTTCATTTTGATGATAAAATTAATTTGTTAAAGAAACGTTAATGATAAAAAGTTTCACGTTTTTGTTTTTTCTATTGTTGTTTATTATCAACAATAATTTGAATATTGTATTTAAACTTAAAATTCATAATTATTTTCTGAAAAATGTTTACGTTCTCTCATCGTAGATCAAAGCAGTAAATGTCCGAGGTCACGAACACAACATTTCTCTCTCCTTTTCTTTTTTGAAACCGATATTGGATAACTAGTTCAGAAACATACAATTGTTTTATACGGTTCGAGAAGCACTCGGATGTTTATATCATCATTCTACTAATAATCTTATGCACGTAATATTGACGAGTTGATAAGTGAAATAGCGAAACGATCTTTCGAGTTTAAGATTTTCTCAATGATACCTATCATGTTGAGCTTAACGTAGAATCTCACAGATATTTTTCTATAAAAATTTGTACTATTGTTTTTTCTTCAGAAAAAAATAGTAGCTACTTTGTACAATAAAACTTACTCACCAAAATAATTGTGTGGATTGCATAATTGCCTAATGTGTTTTTTGAAATGTGTATGATTTTCCATTTGTCGTCGTAATAGCTAAACTGAAGTCAAATAAGCAGCAGTCAATTTTACTAAACTGCCTCCTATCAACTTCAGTATTCATTCTTTTTCTTCTTAGACAAATTGTAATCTCAATTGTTTGGAAAATGATTGCTTTTTTTCTTCTTCTTTTTTTTCTCTATAATAAAAGACATGATTCTTTTTTTTTTTTCTTTTTTCTCGTTCAACTATTATGTCAAAGTTAGAGTCAAAAATATCTCTGATTGGAGACTTTTTGAATATAATAAAATAATAACTTTTCTAGAAAAGAAGGAAACAAGCTTTAGGGTTGGAAAAAACTTGTAGTTGTATCTAATTGCTGTGTAACACACGACGACATCCTATTATCCATTTTCAGTCAGAAGTTAAATAAAGTGACAAGAATGAAAAAAGAAGAGAAGAACATAACAGGTCTCCAATGAATAGAAAGTGGTTAAATCGATTAAAGTTGAGGCGTGAATTACATCGAACATTAATTGAAAAGAAAATGATTATTTCTTCTTCTTCTTCTTCTAGATAGAGCATTTTGACAGTGTGTAATAAGCATTTTTAAAAAAGAACAATATATTTTGATTTTGTCTTAAACAAGACACACATGTCCATTGTTAAAATATTCGCAACTTATCAGTTATTCAAGTTTTAACATCCGTATCCCGTTTAATATAAATATGAATGAAATAATCTAGTTCGGTTTTAGGGTCAGAGAAATATGATGTGAGTGTAGTATTTAAAAAGATTTTCAAAATTATCCTCACTTTACTACTTTATGTATGACATATAACTGAGTATATAAAAAATAAAATCTAAAAACAGATATGGTAATTAGTATTACAAAACTATCATTAATTAATATCAAAAATAAAATTATCAGCATATATTTCAATAATAAAAAATATTCTCGGCACGTTCATTAGGTCAATGGATCAATTGGTCAATATTTAAACTAAAAGCATGTATTTAACTGTGATGTAAATACATCAGCTGACTTTGATTTTATAAATACAGCCTTTTTTCATGATCTGAATCTCTTATATTATATTAAAGTATTCATAGGGATTTTGTACACAACAGACAAGTGAGAAGCAATAGAGTATATGATTTGACCTTCATATTTTATATCTTTGATAAGACAAACAAATGGAAAAGATTACACTTTAACCTAGAAATATGATCATGATCTCTCTAGTTTGATAAAACAACAGGAAAACACACCTTCAACCTTGTCCATATGAGCCATTGTAACGTAGTCATCATATAGATTGAAGATTATATTTCACCTTAGTATATCAGTTCAATTGAAAACTTAACAGGCTATAAAATCGTTTATTTTTCATTTTTTTTTTATCTATTTCATCTGTACACAGATACAGTTTAACGAAAGTGCCAGTGTTTTTCTTAAAACACACTAACTGATGCGTTACTGTGTATGAAACAGTACCTTGGAAAAAGGAGAAAATATTGTACAATGTACAAGCTAATCAATTTTATGGTCTATTGCTTATTTACACATGTCCATTTTTTTGTTATTGTTAATATTAGGAGGAACTGATAATTCTGTTTATAATGATGATTTTTCAAGTTTTACTCGATTAATTTTACTTAGTAAGTGAAGAGTATTTTCTCAACGTCATACAAGTGTCTAGCAACTCTTATATTTATTTTCTGGCATATGGTTGTGGCAGTGGGATTAATTCTGTGAGGAATATGCTCATGTTGAACTGTTTATTATTGAACGAATATTCAAACATAACTAGATTTTGGAAAATTGGAATATATTCTTATAAGTATTTTTATAATGTATACATAAATTAGGTCATAATTATTGATAAGGTATTCTAGTTTTGAATCATATCTTGTCTTGTCTGATATAAGTAATTTGCGGTAATAGATCAATGATGGTTGGTGTAATTGATTTCTTTTTCTATGTGGATCGTTTGAATGTTTGAAAATAGAAAAAGAGAAAGAAGAGAATTTTTTTTTCTATGACTCTTAACGTTTCTCAGCATTTTTGAATAGTAAAAGACGCAAAAAGATATTCGCTTTTTCTCATTAAATTTAAGACGATTAAGTCCAATAGTTTAAATGCCATGTTACAAATCATTGAGCTCAAAACTGTAAAGAAATGTGACCTCACACATAGGGCATCTTTACAAGGACAGCACATGTAGAATGTGTTGTCGCCAAAGACACACGTACCAAAAATTTTATCCTTTCCATAGCAAACAAATGTGTCATCTAAGAATACATTCAATGGATCCATCATACTTTCAGATTTTTCGATTAAACAAATTAAAATATATCATTTAGTTTGTCTCAGATTAAGTCCAAAAAATAACAAGAAAAGTGTCTAGACACATAGAAACTTGTATGCACTTCCTTTAACGTTCGATAGCAGCTGCTGTCTTGAAGTCATCTATGCGTTGAAAATGGCAGAAATCCTCATAAGCATTCAAACAGGCCCGTTTTATTTTTACCTAGACAGCACTCGTGTAAGTTGTCCAAAATTTTCTGAGTGAAGAGATTTTTCTACATCCCGATGTTGTAGAGCATATCTGATTAATTTTTTAGCTAAACCAAAATTTTTTCATATATATTACTCAATCTAATATACTATCCATAATAAAATCGAATAGTCACGGATGTTTTTTGGAATAACGTATAATAGAAGGCAGCTAGAGTGCTCGAGTTTTCGCCATTCGAAAGAGGAGTCTAAGGGCATGTTTTCATAAGCAAGAGTTTTCCAGAAGGACTTTTAAGATAGGTTTTCTAGGAGATCGTTGAGAAACGTGGCCGTACCACAAAAAATTTCCTATGGGATTATATTGAGTTTTTCATGAGTAAACAATCGGAGTCAAGCGAGATCTTGATTTTCAGTGGTTCGAGTATGATATCGGATATTTTTTCGAAGTCCCTGCCCTCGTACCCAGTGACTATTGGTAACCTCGAGTCCGGGCTGATTATAGGTAATCGATCATGCTGAGTTCCGTGACAATATATTTTTTAGAAAAAGATTTTAAAAACTAACATTTAAAAAGTATGCTCGATAACATGTAAATCCATAAAATCCTTAAATTTTTTCTAGTTTTCTTGTTTCTGTTCGATAGAGTCAATGACTCCATGAATCCTCTGGACACACAAATTGCAGGACTTTCTCTATACTTCAGCTACGGATTCAATAAAAAACAATTTTTTCAATAAAACCTCTCTTTCTCAATAAGAAAAGATTTCTCAGTAAACAAATGGTGATATTCATCATCATCACATCGAACTGCACTGAGCAAAGTATAATAAAACAACTTTAAAGAAAAATACCTTTTGTAGCCAAATAAATGGGCAAGGAACCCACTCTAAGATTTTAGTCAAAAAATGGTTTTCTTTTGAAATTTTGTTTTTCATTGCGATGAACAACAGTGAGCCAAATGCGAGCAAAACATCTGTTTCTGTCAAGAAAAATCAAAGTGGCTTTTAACTTCGTTTTTCTGCTCAATGTTAGCCGATATTTGGAAGGTCCAACAGCAGCAACGAATCTTAGATAAGTGCTTATCAAGAAGAACCTGGAAAACTGGATTTTGTGAAAAAATGATTGATCGGCTAGAGAGGTGCCCTGATAAGCAGCATTGAAATCATTGTAGAGCTTTTCTCTCTCGTCGATACGCAGTGACTGAATTTTTCTTATGAAATTTTTATGTCATACAGAGAAGGATAATATTTATAAAACTATCTGTTACAGTACTGATATTAGCTTGATGTTACATGTAAGTAAGAGTGCTAAATTAACGTATGGCTCAGCTCAACAGGTACACTATGAAAAAACAAGTACCCCTAGGGTCATGAATGGACCACTTAGTCCCATTAATCGTCCATCAAAGTATCCCGTTTTAGTTGGTGGGGCACTTGTTTTTTAAAAGTTAAAGAAGCTGCAGTGTTAATCACTATTATTAATTGAAGTTTTAGGAAAATATTATTTTAACAGTCGATGCTTTTATTACAATATTATCGGTTTGTAAATAATTACTTTGCATCGTATCGTCGTGCTACAAGAAAATGAAAATCTTTTGACTGTAATAACTTTTTCTAAACAAAAAGATCAATTTTTCCCTACTGAAACTAAATAGCTTCCGTTTTGGCCCGTGGCGTCTGTCTCTAACGATCTAGAAATTGTAAAGAGCATGAGTAGGAAGTTATAGTAGTTTAAAATTAGGATATTTTTAAAAAATATAGCATTTTTTTGTTTATGGAAAAATGTGTACACGACCTTCCATAACATATCTCTGATATTTGGAGGAACCTACTAAAATGAAGATACCAAGCTCAATTTTAATTTTAATTAATGTTTGAGAGATATTCAAGAGCTATCCAGTCGTATATTTGTTTACCGTTACGATGTTTAGGAATATGAGAAAAACACGTTTTACCTATCTTAGACATATCTTTGAGGAGTGACAACTTGATATAAAATATCGTTCCAGGTCTCTGTAGTAAAATTTGTATCTCAGCAAGAAAAGGTCGAAAGAGGACTGAAAGTGAATCTGTGTTGTAGAGGACACGTCGCTCTTTAATACACCATGTTTACTTCAAAAATGGAAAATTTTTCCAAGAAGAAAGCGACATGATTTTGAAAATTCTTGACATCGATGTAAATAGCTCAAGGATTTCGACATTTGAAAAAGGTAACAAAAATTTTACTCTGATTAATTTATGCATGAATGTATATTCAATAAAGCCTTCTGTACATAAACAATGGTATACATGAGTAATAAATGCAAAGTCATGAAGAAAAGGCGAGATAAAAATATATGCTTACTGCAACACTATCGCGAATGTTGAAGAACAGACACATTAAACAAGATATATATTCAAATCCCTTATATTACACAGAAATTTTGATTATTGTATTGCACGATCATAAATCTAATATTTTCACCTATTGAAATTTTGGAATTACAAAAATGTGCTTACCGGTAAGAAATAGTCTATTGTGAAGCAATAAAAAAGAACACGTTGTAAGAACGTGAGAACAGCATTCTATAGCAATAATAGTTAGTAATGGTTTGATTTGTTTTTAGTCTCATTAGAGTGAGTTATTTAACTTTGCTCTGATATTAATTTTGATAAATTGAAAGAAAAATAGAAAATTAATCTAAAACAGCTTATAAAAGGCATCTCTTTCCCTCTCTTTTAGCTCTGTTGTGACTGTGGTCCTGTAGATTGTTGTATTTGTATCCCATTAGACTGTTGTTGTCCGAGAGGTAGTGGGTAGGTTATCTAGTGATTTGTTTGTCAACTTCTTTACTTAAAGTCAGTTTTATGTTTATATTATAGGGTGATTACAAGACAACCTGGATAAAACTGGACTTGTATTATCTTTTGTTTTAAAACTTTTTTTTGAGAAATACAAGTGTATAGTTTTGAATAAAAATGTTTAAAAGACTTTTAAATTAATTCGAATGCTACTTCTACGCATGTAACAATAGATTAACTGACTAAAAATTTTACAATATAACTTCGATTTGTTACACTAATTTACATCCATATTTTGAGCGATCGTCGTTTAACTTGAAACTGACATCGTCTATGACACATGATCTGTTTTAAATGTGTTTCTGTCCCTTGTACATTGTCCAAATTTAAACAAAAGAGATGTTTGAGTATTAATAATATTTTGAAAATAACCTGACTCGCCGTCTCAATATGTTTAAGTTTTGTAAAACTCAAAAATAAAATTTTTACATTTGGAAAATGTTTAATAATATTTTCCAATTGTGTTGTTTCACAATTTATTATATACAATTCGAGAATGCTTTTTCTTTCAATAATATTTTTCATCGACATTTGATAATCAAATTTCAATTGTTTTATATTTGGCATTGATAATAGTATACGATAATTAGAATTAGATGATAATAATGTTAATTCATGAATTTGATTTATTACAATTGAATAATTATTGACATTCAATGAACAATCATTGCATAGACAAAGTGAATTTACATTTGGAAATGATTCTGTTAATAATTTTCGTAAAATTTCAATTGTAATATTTTCAGAATAAATGCGAAGATCACGTACATTATTAAATGCATTAAATTTATCAAATTGAAATGATTCTTGTGAAACAGAAAAATGTTCATATAGAAATGGAAGGGTAAATAATATAAATGATTTTTTTCGTTGTTCAAAATAACATCCAACTTTCCATTGTTTCCAAAAATCTGTTTGAAATGTTTGAGATAATTGTTCAATTGTTACCGTTTTACTCAAATAAATTGTATCCCAGATAATATTAAATTTTAATTCTGTTAAATAATTCAATTTCATTAGCATATTTTGTAAATGATATCCATCTAGTAAATGATCATGATCATATTCAATTAATATGAATGATAAATATTCTAATTTTGGTAAATTTTTAATAATCGATTCAAATTTTCCATATAAATTATTTGATGTACGAACATGAAATGTAAAACTGACTAGATATGGTAATTTATCGGCAAGTTGATGGTACTTGTAATATGCATTAGAATCCTGACGATATAATATTTCAACATGTAGACGATGAATTAACGGTAGATTATCTAATAGAATGAGAAAATCATTATATGTATGTAAATCGATTCTCAATTCTTTAATGCAGCATGGTTTAATATCACATTTCAATGACAAACCTTGAAGACAGAGTCAACGATAAAATATTAATTGACTGCAAATTACCAATCTGAATCAATCTTACCTCCTAGCAAATGGCACTTATCTAATTCTGAATGTTTACTAAAAACATTCAGATACCGGTCATTTTTCATCGTCCAATTTTCACAAGTAACATTTTCTATTGTTAATTCTTTTAATTTAACATAGTTAACATAATACAGTAATGTATCATCATATTCAACGTTATACAACGATAATGATTCCAAATAAGGTAAGTTACTCAGAAGATTTTTTGATTCGCCTAATTCTATTTGTCCACAGGAATATTTATTACTTAATTTTAATGATTTAACATAGCTACCAATGATTGGAATAACATGATGACAATAATGTTCAAATTGGGCAATCGTACATTGTCTCAGATCAATATCGGTCGTATACTGTGCCAATAAATAGTCAATACGTTCATTGATTCCTAGGAATGTGTGGAGAATATCAAAATGTGTTAAATACTCAAAAATCATTACAAATAATTCATTAGGGAGAATATCCATTTTATTGAATTTTAACTATTTAAATCATCTAAATATGCCATGCCTAATAGTTGTTCTAACTGTTCAACTACATTGAACGGTATCACATTTTGTAGCTATGCGACTAGCCTCTTCGCAACATTGACCGAACGAAATAGTATACTGTATAAGAGAGTAAGCATATCTCACTGCATGTCGAAGTTATAGCCTTAAAATATAATTTGCTAGAATAAAGTAAGCACCATGCATGTAGTAAGTTGGTATGAGAGAGAGAGAGAGAGAGAGCGATACAGTCAATTTGAAACTATGATGGTACACAATTGCTATTTATTCACTCTACTATAGAGTTGCGAGCAACTGAAATTATTCTGTTCTTGTAAAACTTATAGTCAGCTGATACGTTTATCGAAGATTTATATTTTTTATGAAAATTAATTTATTTAGCAGAAAAAGTTAAGGCAAAAAAAAGACAGTAGAACTAGTGGCAGAAATATTATAATCAAATTAGAATAAAAAATAAAACACACACAATGTCCAAAGATAAATCATTAGCCCTGATATGCTCAATATTGGCTGCCAAGAACTGGAGGCTGGGAAGAGACGGCTTGTTTCACACGTATTCTTTCCAATACATTTCAAAGCGTTTCTATATATAGAATAAATAGTTAAGTAGCTATATAGTTTATTACAGCATTAGTATTCTCTACTTACTGATGCTCTTCTTTATTTGTACAAACTTGACTTATTGAATATCCATAGTTTTTTCGTAATAATGATATGATACTATTCTCACCAACCAAATGCGCTATAGAAAGTTAGATAATATTTAAGTATAAAGAGCAATATATTTTTATTCGTAGATGCATCAATTTACCTGCATCAACAGCAAAAAAGAACTTTTCTTTTGATGAAGATCTTTTTAGTATATTATTAACCGTTTCGGCTATAGCAGTATTATGCTCCAACATCATATCATCGGATTTTTGAACGGAAGAAGTATCCTGTTTCCTCTTTTCGCTATTTGACTGTTGTAAACTATCAAAATTTTCACAATTGTATTCATGGGCGAGTTTTTCAATGGTGCCACTAAATTGTTCATTTGTTAAACTGGTCTCAGTCGTTTTTATCGCGGTTGCGATTTTTTCAGTTTGAAATTTTGTAAACTAAATGACAACATTATTTATATGTGGAAAGAATTAGCTTAAATGACACAAGCTTACTTTACAATACATTTCATATGTTTCCAAAGAACCCACTGTTTTATGCGAACGACGTGCTTCTAACGAAAAAAAATTGTCTAATAATTGTGTTTGTTCTGGTTGATTTTCTTGCGACACTTGTCGTTTATCTAAAAACACAAATTATGAAATTATTTCTAGTGAGACATTACTTCTCAATTAGGTTTACCTTTATTATTTTGAATTTCAGTTGATATGGTTGACGTGGTTGCATCTGGACAACTTTTAAGTAAGGCCACTGACTCAGGAGTTGTGAAGTCAAATTCAACGTACACGTCAGTACTATCGGAGAAAGCTGCCTTTACTGTTTTAGAGATGTACGGCCAAGTGAGAGGAGCTGGCAAACGAGCAGTGCCAAAGAAATAAGCCGATTTTACTTCATCTAAACGCCATAGTAAGCCTTCAGAAGTGCTCTATGAAATAAAATAAAGAAATAAATCAAAATACAGTTTGATTAAACATCTCATAAAGCTAAACAAAGTTTTACTTACTGATAATAAACATATGAATAGAATAATGCTGCAGAACCAATTTGTACTATAGGTCATGATTAGATTTACTTAAAATGATTTATGAGTTCATTGAGCGGAAATAATTCTTTATATAGTCCGAACACAAGGCCCTCACTTTTTGCTTCATGGTTGCTAACAGTACATTTTTTTTCATTTTCAAGACATCTTTACTTGGAGTAAAAGAAAATTTAATATTTTTCTGCTTTAGTACAGTTTGTTTAAATAAGTACTTCTTCTCTACTTAACTATTTGACAAAATGTTGAACGAGTTGATTTTGCATTCATATTCTCATACGAAGCCTAAGCTGATCTAACATTATTATACAAACAACTACGACCTTCTCTGATCTATGAACTTATATTTTTCATTAAAATGAGCAAAAAAAAACTTTTAATGAACAAAATCGTGATATATCCGATCCTGTTTTTACGTAACGAAAGAAAAAAATTAACCAGTACGTGACCGAATAACTAACGTTTGTTCATTGTTCTGATATAACTTTTTTGAAGCCCTGAATACACGAAAGTTCATGCAATTGTAATGTATTGTTATGTATTCATTAATGAATACTGAAAACTTTCAAGTTTAACTATTATGTAAGGCCTTTTTGTCGTTTACGTAGTAAATTAAAAGCTCGGATTTTGGAAACGAAGCGTTTTTAACTAAACTATAACTATTGAATAAACATTCAAAGCAGCAAAACGTTAATTTTAGAATTTGTTTTGTTTTAGATGAAATTTGAAGTTGAAGTTGAAAGTTCTAATCGTTTCACGAAAGCAGCATCTATATTTGTAATATGGATTCTGCTTTCGTAAAACGACTAGTGTTTTCTAACTTAATGGCTCTAAATCGAATTAATGTAAAGTTGAAAGTTGTTGAAACTTTAGTTGAAGTGAAGTTGTCTGTTTGCGCACTCAGAGTCGAGTTAAGTAGAATTTTTCCATATCTAGTCTCACAATTCCAGTTTCCAACTAAATGGTGGTCCACAAGTCCTGCAGTCACTTTTCTATTAAATTTTTATCTGTATTGACTTGTGTTAGCTCAGAAGATAGAGAATTTAATTCTCTAGGAAACTGTCGACTTGAAAAAAATTTTGAAATTAATTTTGAATCATCGCTATGGAAATAAAAATACTAAAATGTTACGTTATGAAAATTGATCACCTATCTAATTGAAGTTCTTTCCAGCGTATTTGAATAAAAACGATTTATTAACCAGAACACAATATACCATTAAATTCAGCGTGAAATTCTGTACAAAACCCCATACTTCATGTGGCAAAGCAAAATTCTTCTAAGTCGAGTTTCTCATAAAAGTTCCAAAGGTGTTTAGGAGGATCCATCTTTAGTAGCATCTAATATTATTTTACACTTTTAAAATTAAATTTAGAATTTTATCTTTCTGGTACATGTAATTTTGTAAAGTGAGAAATTCTGCATCTTCTGATGTAAAATGCATGAATTTAAATTTGAGTTTGAGGGCAAAATGCCGATAATATGGATTTTCTACGTAAGTCAGTCAATTTAGGGCTTTCCTTCTCGCAAAAAAGAATAATCATTTAACACAAATAGTGTCAGATTGTACAACATAAAATTCTGCATCTTTTGACGATAATTATTAAAATAAATAATTATTTGTAAGTTGAACTGAGAGAACAGCAACGCTTCGCTAAAGAAGTTAAGTTTATTCTGTGCTGTTTTAGAAAATTAGAATATTTTAATATCATGAATATTCTGCTAAAATCTCGAAAATAATTTCAAAACAAAATCGACACTTTCCAAGAGAATTAAACTCTTCATTTTTTGAGCTAAATATTAAATTTTTAAACACAAGTTAATATAGATAAAAATTTAATAGAAAAGTGGCTTCAGGACTATCCTTCAGAGTATATTTTCGGAGAACGATTGCATATTCACTTTTCAAAAAAGACACAATTCATTTACGTTCACAGTCAGTATATTATCTAAAATGCTTTTTTGTTATTGGTCTGATTGACCTTGTATTATACTATAAAACAAGACTGTACGGAGCAAGAAATAAATTATAAAAAGCTAGTCGTTCTACAGACTTTTAATTTACATTCTTGTCGATCGTTACCAGGTATGTTTTGGATTAAGTAAAATAATTAGGTTACTAAATTTCAATACTGTTCATTATAATACAATGGATAAACTGCAAAATAATATGTACAAACGTTCATTGCAGCATTTCGAGTGAATAACAGGCAGAAAATTTTTACTTGGAACCCAAACTTGGACAAACTTGGAATCCAGGCAAATTGGGAATTTGCCTGAGCAAAATTAGGATTCAGACAAAATTGGAATTAGAATGGGTAAAATAGAGATCACCGTTTTTAAGGTCACAAAATCGATGTTATACGCTGAAATCTTCCTATTATTATTTTTTCATCAGCATACATCCACTCTAACTGTGCACCTCACTTGATTTTTTCATTCTTTCAACTGTCTTTTTTTTTCATTTTGCTTCATATGGCTAGTTCTGTAAATAAGAAAAGAGGGGGAAATATCGGTCGAGGGTGTTGATGCACTGTATATATCTCACGTATTGAAAGAGCTTTGATTGAACTTTTTGCGAATACTAACTTGTACTTAACTTATACTATTTTGATTTGGTATGTCATAACTGCACAAGCTCTCTGTTTACTTGACCACATGTATCCTATGTCTTTTCTATTCTATTATTCACAATAAAATGGCAAAAAGAAGGATATAAAGAAAGTATTTGAAAGATTCTACATTTTAACAACAAGGATCACCCGTTTGAAATTTTAATAAAAATAATAATATAATAATGTAATTTAATAAATTTAATAATAGCATCAATTATACTGAAATCACTTTATCGGCGAACGTTACTATTTTCTCACTAGAGCGATAGATATTGAATAACAGTATAAAAACTATTTGGTCGAGTAAATAGAGAGTATATTCGAGAAAAAATATCTTTTTATTTCCTAGATACTTAATCATATAAAGTGGTGGCAAAAAGTTTAACAACAAACTTATTTTTGTTCTTTCTCGTGAATCCTAGTAGCTACAATAAATCTGACGATAGGTTCGTACAGCGCTGACTTCGATGTGTGTACATATATTATTCAAAAAATTTCAATTTGACTTTAACCTGTTAGAAAAAAGGTTTTCTCA